TATACCAAAAGAGCTCTGTGTGTGCGTGTGTGCGTGTACTGGTGTTTGCAGCAACTCTGTAGCATCAGCAAATCTCTGTCTAGTGTTTATGGTTGATGCAAATCGATCAGAACAATACTGCCACATTGAACAGACAAAGAAACATCTAAATGTCTAAAAGAAAGTGTAAATAGATGTTAATAATCTTATTAAAAGTGTGGATTTCTAAAACAATTTTAAGCAAGAAACATTTGACCTTTGCAGAAATAAATAACCATACATTATTGATTGTCAATAACTGTTCACATAATAACCACCAATCACAGAAAACATATGCAGCCTCAAAAACAACAAGTGGCAAGTATCTAAAGCACAAAAATCTCTGTTGCCCTCTTGTTCAGCTGATCAAATAGGACTAAACACCCTTCACAACAACACTGGGGCCTGATAGAGGGGCGTTTGCAGTGGCAGAAGAACCCTGCTAGAGACAAGAGCATCCACCTGCACCACGCACTGTGCCAAAATAAAAAAAATAAAAAAATCAACTGTGATCTGGACTTTAGTCTCAGTGATGCTTAGACAACTTCACAGAGCCACCGCACAAGGCCCTTTGCACAGGGCCCACCGCACGGGGCCCACCGCACGGGGCCCACCGCACGGGGCCCACCGCACGGGGCCCACCGCACGGGGCCCACCACACGGGGCCCGAACAAGCTCAGGTGGGTTTGAGAATGACCAACACCAGGTCATGAAAGGATCAGTGGACAGTCCCACAGAGGAAGTCACTATATGCTGAAGCACTTTTTTGTATGGCTGTAAAATTTATCACAGTCAAATCAAAATCACAATTTAAATGATCACAATTTGTAAATTGATGCAATACAAAATTTTCTTTTGCAAACAACTGACACTTGCAAAAAACTGACACAATTCTTGTATAGCTTATATGGAGTTCATATTTCTGTCTGTAAAGATAGTGAGTGTAATTAGATGTAGACAGTGGCAAAGACCAAAGCGTGGGAGACATACGGGAGCTTGGCTAAGAGCATTTAAAGCTCCAGGCTGTAAAGGGAATCACAAATGTCATAATGTCAAATGAAGATTGTACAATACCACATTATAACACAAACAATGCAGTTATATCAAAGACTGGCCCTTTTACACTGAAACCAGATCTTTCTTCTCTAATTGGTGCTCTGCTCATCCTATAATTGCAAAGTTGGTAGTCAGAATCCTGAAGTGTCATTGTGGCGTCAGGATCCTCATAATTGCCACTGTACTGTATATTGGGAGAGGTAATGCTTGCTATGTGGCAACAAGATAAGAGTGATGTCAGAAATGATTACACAGATGGTAATAATAAAAGAAGATGACAATAAGAAAAAACAAAGTATAACAATGTAAAGTGTAATGCAGTGCGTGTTTCAGAGGGCTGGCTTAACACATCTCTGATCAGTGGCTGATGGTCTGTTTTAGTAGCAGTCTACTCGCATGAAATAAGGAAGGAGCAGAAATTGAGTGAAAGCTGCTGGGTTCAAACTCTGACAGCAAAGGTGTGGAAAGAGCATAAAAGTGCATTAATCAAGCAGAACATACAGAGAAATATATAATATATATATGTGGAAATATATAATATTTGTCTTAAGCAGACTGACAAATAACAGTGGAGAATTTCAAGAAGACCATTTTCTCCACTTCCATCATGACATACTATGTAACTCTCAGGTCCATACAAAGAGGCCTCCCGGACACCTCACGACTGTGACAAGTGGAGTCGGCATCAGCTCTGGACAATATGAAAGGCCTGCTTTTGTCAGGTCTCCTGAGAGGGCCCAGGCAAACCATTATGACTGAGCAGCACCATAGAAAGAGCATCGCCCACTAGCACAGCAGTGTCACTGGACTGGATCATTGGGTTTTGTTAAAAAGGCAAGAGGCTGCAGTATTGCAGGATCCATATTACGCTATTTTCTGATCTATATTATAATGCTGTTTCCTCATCACAAACATACCTGGAGTTGTGTTTTCTTTCATTCACACGTTTAACACATAAACCCTGCATAATTAGGCTGTGTTCTTCTCTTAAACTAAAGACACTCTGTTAGACCTTGTGATGTCACCTGTAATACAATGTAGAAGTGCTCCACTGTGTTACTCCATACACCGTCAATAGAATCATTTGGATTATGTCAACCCTGGAATTGACCATCTCTAAATCTACTGGTAAAAGGAAGCTGTTAACTTGAAAATTACCACTTGATGACATCACAAAGTGGAACAGGGCCTTTTTGGTCTTTGGAGATGTAGACAGACTAATAATAAAGGATTACTCAAACATGTGTGAATGAATGAAACAAAACACAATTCCATGTGTGTTTTTAGGAGGTAGCAACATTATAACATGGCTTAAAGCTCACAAGAATCAAGTTTGCATAATATAGGACCTTCAAAACTATTTTTTAAACTACTACAATTATAACATAATTATATGACAAGTTCTGGTGTCTGCTGGTAAGCCCTGAGGGAATGCTTGACAATAGCGACCCGGCCTTGGTTAAATCATTTGACGCCTCTCACTCAGACATGACCACTCAAAGTCACTTCCTGTCCTTGTCTAAAGTAATTCCACTAGCGCAGTCGTCCTACAGGGGCAGCACAGAAGCAGCTTTCTCAACACCACGCTCAGTTACATGTGGCATCAGAGTTGTCCCATGAACTACCTAGGCACAAAAAACATATAAACAACAGCACTAGACAGTTTGAAATATCAATTTGTACTTCTTAACCTTATAACAAAGCAGCATTCACTGCTTTGAATACACTATACATGTTTGGGATAGGCCTCATTCAAAGAAGAATTCTGGTATTATTTTAATATGTTTCTGCTCTGGATCATTTCTGCAATTGAACAAGGTGATACAATCTGCAGTATGGCTCCCCAAATCAAAGACTCTCTGGACTCAGAGCAGCAGAGAGAAATCTATTTATAATAACGGTGAACTGTGTGCCTATTCTGGTGGAGGATCAGCTACATTGTCTCTGTAGAGTTGTTACCGCTTTAACTGGAATGTTCCGTGTTATAGAAAAACACTAATACCCTGAAAAACACCTTCTTATGTGAGTCGTCTCAATGGAGAAATTTCATGTCATATGGTGGAACACTGCAGTGCTTTGCAGTGCAACGTTCAATAACATTTCCTTGGAGACAAGCAGGTTGCGAACCTTTAAAGTTGAACCTTTAAATGCGATTGAATAAAGTGCATGATAACCCTTAGCAGATTGTATGATGTATTTTTCTAGTAAAATACATATTTTTTCTCATGTATAATTCAGCTGTTCTGTTTGGATAGATGAAAGTTTAAAGGGCCCATATTAAACTATTTTCTGATCTATATAATAATGTGATTTCCTCATCAAAAACATACCTGGAGATGTGTTTTGTTTTAATCACACATGTTTAACATACAAACCCTGCATATTTAGGCTTCTCTCAAACTGAAAACACACTGTTCCACCTTGTGATGTCATGCAGTATTACAGGAAGAATTTAAACTCCAATTAATCTTTACTAGATTCATTTGGATAATTTCAGACCTGGAATTGCCAATCTCTACAGGACTCTTCAAGTTAATGTCTACCTTTTACCTGTAAACTACCACTACATGACATCACAGGGTGGAACTGTGTTTTCAGTTTGAGAGACTGTTGACTAATAATAAAAGGATTACTCAAACACTCACTAATCAAACAAAACACAACTCCAGGTATGTTTTTGAGGAGGCAACAGCATTGTGACATGGCTTAACGCTCTCAAGAGTCAATTTTATGTACTATAGGACCTTTAAAATGATCGTTATGAATGGTGATCTGGCTTAATTTTCACAGAAACATGGGTGCTACTACAGGTCCTCCCATCTGTCTTGCACGTCGCACAACAACAAAGCAAAGGCTGTGTGAGTGTGTGACCCGGGGGGGTGGGGACTCAAGTGATGGAGACTGTTGATACGTGATGTTACACTCGTATTGCGTGTTTTGATCGATTGGATAATAGCTTGGTCCTACTAATATTACTAAAGAAAGTATTGCTTAGATTAAATCATTGTCGCAGCAGAGAACAGCCCCTTTTCACATCAAGAAACCCAGCAAGAAGTTGGTTAATGTTATGTTTCAGAGTAGTTCCTGAGTTAATCGGATATGATAACTACATTAAGCTTGTTGTACACATTTAGCCCGCCGCGGACAACACAAATAATCAACTAAAGGGAGGGTCTTCAAAACAAAATAGGTCTTGTACGAGTAAACAATGCCCAACAGCAGCATCTGCGTCCCCAGCCAGGCCAGATGGCTTACACCACAAGACAATAACTCCCACCTCACGCCATGAACTTAACTTTATTTGACAGTAACGTAATCAATAACAAACTAAAACACGCAGATTGGAATAAACACGTGTAACTATAAACAACAAACAACAACACAAGATGATTAATTTCCTAGTAGTAGTAGCGGTAGCAGTAGTAGTAGTTTGTAGATGTGACTAACAAAGATTGATAACTTTACATAGAAGAGTGCATAGCTGGTTAGTTTCGAAACAAGCTAATCTAATTCAGACAGTGGTTTTAAATTATGATGAAAACAAACGAGTAGCACATGGTTTTACGTCTAGTTTGTCAAAATGGAGCATCGATGTATTGGAAGCAACAACAAATACGTGAACGAGGCTGTTTACTTCGTCGTTGTAGAGCAAATCAAGACCAATCGTATGGTTATTTTCTAAAATAATAGAGGTTAATTAGTGGTACAACCTGCCTGAGCTAACAGTGGCTAGTTACCTAACAGGATCGCCTTAACTAGTAATTTTAAAAGACGGGAAGTTAAGGCAACATTGCTAAGCTAGTTATACAACATCACACAAACGCAAAACAAAAGTCGTTTGCGAAGAGAAAGCTGACACAAACAACTTTTCTTTTCGGTCATTTTCAACACTGGCGCTTTCTCAAGAGTAAAACTTTGTAATTTACCTCGATTTCAAAGTCCGGGAGGTTGAATGCAGTCCTGAACAGCGAGCAGAAGTGGGCTATGGCGGGGACTTCCCACCAAGACTGGATCTCTTCCACAGAAATTGTACATCCCTGTGACATTTTAGGACAGAAGAAAAGCCGCGGCGTTTATCTTTCACATTAGTAAGTAGTTTCCCTGGTGTCCTCTTTCGTGGACGTAGAATTAAACATGTTTCAGCAGCGCGACAAAAGTTGCCTCTTCCGTCCTCTGCGCGGTTGCCATTGCGACCCGTACAGCGCCTCAATCTGTTTCAATCAGTCTCACCCACGGGTCCGACCGGAGCAGATGGGGAGGGCCGTACCATTACGAGACTACCGGGGGGAGCACACGCACTCTTATACTATTATTATTATTTAGTAAGAAACAACTATTCTACAGAACTATTCAACAATACGTACACATATCGAGCACAAAACAACGTGTAAATATCTAAAACAGGACGCCTTTTACTTCTTCAGTTTATTAGCCTGACGGTATTTTGTTTGTTGTATTTTTATTTTTAGCAGTTACAAACATTGGTGTGTATTAAAGCTTTTGTATTTACTTTTTAAATGCTAAACTCGAATAAAAGCATGTTTTTTACTTGTTTATTTAATTTTAAAAATGTTTTTATTGCATTGCGTGCTTTCTCTGGGGGGCTTGCATCCCTACTTACCTGGCTCGACCTGGATAATCGTCCTGCTTGTCTCCATGGAAATGTTCATGGAAATTCCTTTGACTGAAATATTCCATAGTATGCAGTCGATGCATAAAACCTACGAAAAATGATCCAAAGTGTGGTTTTAACTTTATATATCCATGAAATGATGAAGATGATTACCTCCAGACAGGTGGTGCTGCTTGTGTCAATTAAATATGACCAAGCCAGTGAATTACACGTGGATTTATCTGATTAAATGATGATGGTATCCATAAAAATATTTATTAAGTACTAATAGTAAAAGATACACAAGCCTAGAGCTCCTCCGTCTGGTGAAAAGGTGCACAGACATCTGCTAGAAAATCAACAGGTGCATTCAACAGGTCCTTTGGAATAAAATAAATAAATACATAAAAAGACTCCAGTTAGGCCTATGCTATTTTAATTTAACATATTTTACTAGCCTGATAAGACGTGGTATGACATTTATTACACTTAGATGTTAGCCAACAAATGTTTTCGTATACAGCAGGTTAAAAGTTGGCCAAAAGATGGCGCAAGAAGACTTATTGTTAGGGTGTGTATATAGGCATAACTAAACAGTACCAAACTGAACCAAGAGTGAGATTTAGATTACCATTCTGATTGGACAACTTCCACTGACACTGTTGTAGAAATCTATATGTCAATCAATGCCTGTGCAAGGGTCAGTGAGTGACCTCTCTATAGGACTGCATTCATACAGCTGCACAACTCAGTCTGATGTGATAGGATATCAATTATCTGTCACATTTTTACATTATTTTACATGTATTCTTATCATTTAGAATTATAAATATTGTATTTGTTTTTTGTTATTTGGAATTGCACATTTATTTATCTGTTTATTTATTTATTTGGACTTACACAGATTTTATTGATCTGTAAGGAAAATTACTTACTTTGGAGCCCCATTACCTTCCACCAAGTGGTTGCTAGTCTTCCTGGGGTCCATTAAAAGGTATAAAATCACACTATAACATAAACGTTCCTGATTACATAACAATTAAATAACAAATACAATTCATGCATATTCATAACAGCATTATAATAATTCCAATCATCCTCCATATTCATTCATTCTTGTTAAAAGAACATCTCCTACTTATTTGCAGTGTGCATGCTTTCTATTTTTGCCTTCATTAAAAAAATGGAGAAGAAGCAAAGTTTTCACTTGATTTAAAAAAAAAAATAAAAAAAATCTGTAAACATTGGGCATTCAGCTTGCCTGGGGTATGGCATTATGTAACAGTGTAATGAGAACTCATTAAGGATTTCTGTACAAAAAAAATGAGACGGGGATTATAACATTTCTGAAATGCACAGTACTGCACTTGTGTGAGAGGCTATGTGTTGCATCAGATTTGGCAGCACCTCCACATGCATGAGTTTATGTCAGGTTGAGTTAGTGCAAAGTGGTGCTGCTGGGACTGTGTCACACTGGGAATCACCACGAGAGGGAGGGATTTAGGCATCGGGACAATGCTGCTGTTTGTGCAACGGCCCCTGAGTGGCGGCTGGTTCTCTCAGACCGCTCTCGCTTGACTACCGTTACTTCACACATTGTTGGAGTGAAAGCAAAGTGGACGGCTTGATCCTGCCTGCAGGATGCTCTGAGAGAGGTAAGTCCTGATTTCCCACTGTGATATCTTATTTAATAGACTAACTTATCTATTTTAGAGAAAGTTATGAAACACTACTATTGTGGAGTTGACTGAGAATAGCGGGGTCTGGTCTATGGTGAACTCTCAGCTGTGTTTTGGCAGGGTCTTCAATCCCTGTGAATAGAGGAAGTTGAAAGAAAGAGGCTCACTGAAAGGCAAGGGAACTAAGACCAATAAAGAAAAAAAAAAGATACAAGTCTAGAATATTTTATTTAATAGAAATGGAAATGAGATTAAATGGAAACACAGAAAAGGACCACAACATTTACATTAGTTATGCAAATATAAATCATCTTTATGGATTCTTAAAATGAAGGATGTGAAATAAAGCTTAGTGGAATGCTGTGCCAGTAAAGCATGTTGGAAAGTAATTCATTGTCCGCTCTGTCTACCTATCAAATACTCTTATCCCTTTTAACTCGCAGATTAGAGGAACTCAAGCTGTTCAGTCTCCATGTGGTAGTGATATATGCATCCATAATTATGAATGAACCTTTTGAATTACATGTGGTTTGTCATTAATCAGGCAAACCACCAAGGATATAATGTTAACTCCCCTGTGTATCTGATAAAAGAAGTCAAATACACTCCCCAAAACATGATGTCTTTGTGTTGTTACAGATTTTTGGAGGAATGCACTTCATGACAGAAAAACAGCATCTGAGCCATGATACATTACTAACATTAGGGATTTCATTGTACTGGGTGGGCCAGTGAGAGGAAAGCAAAGCTGTGTTAGGCTCTGACAAACTAAACTAAAGAAGGTAAACGAAAAAAAAAGAAGAAGACAGAAAGGCTGAAGAGGATATTGGTGGGCCTTGGAGCCCAATCAAAAATCAGTATGACAGACAAGAAAATCAGGTATGTGACACTTCCTAACTTTGTTATTTGGGAATGCAAATAGTAAAACTATTTATGTTTAAACCGCTGCTCTTGGTTTGTTTGGAATACAACCCCTTCTATATATGTGTATACATATATATGTGGACATGGCTTCTGCTTGTGTAAATGTATAAACGGTCCATGCACGCATGTGTGCGTGTGTCTGTGTTGATCCCTCTTGCAGCCTACCCGCTAAGCTGATTAATGGAGGTGTGGCCGGCCTGGTTGGTGTGACATGTGTATTTCCTATTGACTTGGCCAAGACACGCCTCCAGAACCAGCAGGGCGTCAAGGTCTACAAAGGAATGTGAGTGGGACTTACTTAACTTAATGCTAATTTGTAATTGATCTGTAATTAGAAGACTCACCATCACTTGCATGTATGCAACACAAAGAAACTATTTTACAGTATAAACTGCAATAGTACATAGCTTCATAAATATATCTGTCAAAACATATGATAAAGAAAATAACTAAGATTTTTACTGCTATAAAAGTTATTTTACTGTCTGATTGGGAGTGGTAACACAGACAATGTGGGTTTTCCACTGTGAGTCATACACAGTTTAAAACATCTGGTTCTAACCCCAACCTTGGGCAAACTATTTTAACCAGTTCCTACCAAGATGGGTAGAAGAAATGAAAGTTAGAGTGAGATTAATTGTGTTTTTGTTTTATAGGCTGGACTGTCTTGCAAAGACGATACGCTCGGAAGGCTATTTTGGATGCTACAGAGGTATAATTCAGGTTTCTAATCCCTGTGACAAACAACTTTACTATAAGTAATCTCATCTGTCCACCTACGCTGTTGTTTTCCCCTTCTAATCCTTCTCCTAATCTTTTTATCATAATAACCAGGGTCAAAAGACATTAGTTCACATTGTAAACTAATGGCTAGTTCCTTGTTTTTTTGTTGTTGTTTTTTTGAGAACTATAACTGAAACATTTTCTCTATTTCAGGTGCAGCAGTAAACCTCACTTTGGTAACACCAGAAAAGGCCATTAAGTTGGCAGCCAATGATGTCTTTAGACAAAAGCTCTCAAAGGATGGGTAACTGCATAATTTCCCTTTCTTGTTATCAACATATGCAGTAAAAAGTAAAGACATTTTAATCATACATGTACAACATAGGGAAGCTAATACTGTTACAGTTTAAATAGACCTAATCTGTGATACATTGTTCATGATAAATGTACCATATGTCACCATTATTGATTTCTGTTGCCAGGAAGTTGCCCTTGTGGGGAGAGGTACTGGCAGGCTGTGGGGCTGGGACTTGTCAAGTTGTGGTGACCACTCCAATGGAGATGCTTAAAATACAGCTGCAGGATGCAGGAAGGCTGGGTATGTTAACTATAGATTTGAGTGGGTTTCTGAATATGTTCTGAAATCTCAGTATTCTAACCTGAATGTTACAGCTGCTCAGAGACCAGCGCAGGCACCTGCGCAGACTGTAGGTCCAGCTCCATCACTTGTGTCGTCAGTGCAGCCGGCCCCTCCCCAAAGGCCCTCTGCTACCGGCCTCACAGTGCAGCTGCTGAAGACCCACGGTCTGGCCGGCCTCTACAGGGGAGCAGGAGCTACTTTAATGAGGTTATACCCAGCACGAAACACTGCATTTGTCACACACTGTCTGTTCATGCATTTGCATTCACTGCACACTTCTCCTCATGAGGCCACACAAAGCTGTGAGTGCCTGTGCATAATTACATAACATTGATTGTTGTATTTCCAGGCATTGACAAAAACAATACTCAATAAACTTTTGGCAACACTGCACAAGTTAAATTAGATAGGTCTTTTGATATTTACCAAGAGCACCAAAATGTCCTCACTTGTAACATACTCCTTCAGCAAGTCATTATTTTTGTTATAGGGACGTACCATTCTCAATGATCTACTTCCCACTCTTTGCCAACTTGAATGCTTTTGGCCGGGAAAGCCACAGTGACGTGCAAGGTCGAGCACCCTTCTGGCAGTCCTTTGTGGCAGGCTGCATGGCTGGCTCCATAGCTGCTGTAGCTGTTACCCCATTGGATGGTAAGTATAAAAGTATAAAATAGAGCTAAAAGTTAAAAAACATAGTAAGTCCAGTTATTTTAGTTTAACTTGTTAATAATAGAAAATAAAATAAATAATATTTTTTATGCATTATTAGTAAGAATTTATTTATCTTTGTACCTCTCAGTCATCAAAACTAGAATACAGACCTTACAAAAAGGAGAAGGGGAGGACACTTATCGAGGAATAATAGACTGCACAAGGTATGAGTATAAGCATATATGTATCAGTATGAGCATACAAATCAAATTCACTGCTCAAACCTACAAAAACTTTCATCCCTTTCACTAGGCGCATCATGAAGAGAGAGGGCCCTTCAGCGTTCCTGAAAGGAGCAACATGTCGTGCTCTAGTCATCGCTCCACTGTTTGGCATTGCTCAGGGCGTCTACTTCCTCGGTGTAGGGGAAGCGGTTTTAGGGCTGCTGGAATAGCCCTGCGGGAGGATGAAGGATGTGTTGCATAAATTGCTCTGCCTTGAAGTCACACCGATGAGATAAGCACATGGGCAGAATTTGTGGTTGACCAAATGAAGAGTGTGATCCATTCTCGTGTCTATCCACCAAAATGGATCAGCTTGTTTACTTCACTTAAATGGCTGTTGTATCGGTCAAACAGGGCTGTTGAGCAGAGTATGTGGCTCTTCCAAGTGAAAGGGATGAAATGTGTTTAAGCTTGCTAACAAAATGCCTATAAGTTTAACATATACGTGGCCATGTCAAACTAGTTGCATAACAGCAACGTTCATGTAATTAATTGTAATATTTTTATTACTACATACATTTGATTAAGGCATATTGCTTTGCAATGACTTGTGCATAACTGATAAAAATCAGTTTTTTCAAGTATCAGTATGTTTCCAAAAAGAGTCTAATCTCCTTGCTCTAGGAGGCTACTCTATCCGTGAGTTGTAATCTTGGATTCTAGGCTTCCCCCTGGATTGGGAAGAACTGTCTGTTGGTGTCTCTAAGGTCATGTGTTAATCTGATGGTAATGCTTTAATCCCAGTATTAGAGTAGCATATAACACTGCTCGCTTCCTGCCTACGGCACAATGTTGGGATGATGCATTTGAGAGGCTTAAAATACATTTAAACAGTTTTTAATACATCTATGAAGATTGAAAGAAGTAAACGTCTTAAATGAAATTGATGCATGTACGCACCAACTTAACAGATTACTTTTTGTGTGAAAATATCTTGAACAGTTTTAATCAAATTATTGACAACAAATGTCTTAACTCATATTGCACCTTTGAAGACTCTAAGTAACCTTGCTCTCTGCCATTTGCCATTATCTTAAGTCCACTGGGTGGCACCACAGTTGTTATTGTTGTTTTTTACATTTAGTGGAGTAATATTTAGATAGAGTGCACTGCTTATTTTCAGGGCTAATACATTTTAGTGTAAACAAACAAACAGAGTAAACAATGTACATTTATAAAAGATCAATAAATAAATAAATAATATTTGTCTTTCTCTCATAAACATTTATTACTTTTGAATATTTTTGTCTGCTTATAAGAGTCAAAAATTGTGGGCTATTAACCTGGAAAATCTATCTATCTATCTATCTATCTATCTATCTATATAGATAGATAGATAGATATAGATAGATATAAATATAGTTCTTTTCCAACACAAACAAACCTTGAACGTAACAGGTAAAATGTCAAATACACATCATATTTGTAACAATGGGGAAAAGTTAAAACATTACACTCCATCCACCTGTATACACACAGCTCTCCTCAAATGCACTATTAATCCATGAATTTGCGATTAGGGTTAACTCCAAACAAGGCCACTCTGATTTCAGGTATTATCTGGAAAAGTTTCAGTAAAAGCATAAAACATTTTTAATTATCTATAACCACTGCATAAAAAAATATAGAAATATATATTATGAACATGCTTTTAACATATCGATGGGTCACAATGTACTGCTTATCATCTAACTTTGCTATAACTGAACAAGTATCACAAACTATGCAATGGCTCCCTCTAGAGGTAAAAGACAGTAACTTCACAACAGTAAAGAAAGTACCTGGTGAGTTATAAGTTCGAGTCTTCTTTCTAGTGTATTGGAGACCTTAATCTTCCCGTTATCATTATAAACATCAACTCCCCCACATCTAGGAAAAGATCAAATCACATTTTAACCACTTATATTAAACATATATGAATTCACAAAATTGCAATAAATATTATAATTTTAAAAGGGCTAAAATATGTAATTCTCACATATCCGAAGGAAGAAAACGGTCTGGATCAATTTTGACCACAATGTTCATTTTCACTGACTCTTTATAAATAGGAATGACCTTGTCAACAGCAGCCTGTCAGGGAAATTGAATTAACCCTTACAAAACATTAAGTATAAAAACATACTAGGTGCCAGTACCTGAACCATCGCTACATCCTGTTGCCGACAGCGGACAGTTACTTTAGATTCGAGAAGTTGGTAAAACCCCTGGAAACACAACAGTAAGTTTTGACATGTAAAAATCTATTAATCTATTTTATCCTTAATATTCATTACACTAAATACAGATTGTGTTTGGTGTTTTAATGTTTTACAATGTTTAACCTGGAGCAGAAGACCTTGTAGTAATACAGAGTAGTTATCAGGATCCTTGGCAATGTCTGCAAGTCTTTCTTGGGCTTCTTTTATCAAATCCTGAATGACAACTGATATGTTATATATTAATTTTTATTACAAATTTGTATTATTTATTTATTTTTACCATGATCATGTCATCACGGGCCTTCAGCACCTTTAGCCTGGCTTGGTTCAGAAGGTGGGACATCTGACTATTGGACAATGAATAAAAAAAACCAAAAACATAATTTACAACATCAATATAATATACTTATAATCAGGCAATAAAACATGCATGATAAAAACGTACGGTAGTCACTCAATGTTAAAGGTGCACTGTGCAACTTTTCTGGTGGAGGCTCTGTCATCTGATTTTTTTCCCATGGGGATTTTACTTCTTTGCCTGAAATGTTCAACAGTGGTATTAATCTATCTATCTCGCATTTATTCAATCACATGTGTTTTTATTGCTTAAAAAACAGAGTAGAGCAGAGTCAGCTCTCCAAAGATCTGGCATGTAACTTGGCTTGGTGGTCTTATTTTTTGTCTCCATAGAGATAAATACCACCAGAAAAGTTACACTGTGCACCTTTAACAATAATAATTTTGTCTTATATAGTGCTTTTTGGACCTAACAAAAGCAGGCTCTTGCTGGAACTGGGATCAAACGGCCAACCTTCCAGATGTAAGACAGCTCTCTGTTACCTATTGTTGACCCGACTGAACCACTGTTGCCCCAATCAAGCCTTAACTTGCACCATGAAGTTTTTAGCAGTGAAAAACTAAATGCAGTTAGTTATTGTTGGAGTTTGCCAATGATTGTCACAACACACTAATTTAACACTGAAGGCATGCACCCACATTTTCTTGTGCTGTTCTATCTGCTTTTCTTTCTTCTCATAGTATTCCATTATTTTGACCCTCTGTGTCTGCACAAGGCGTCCTTTCTCTATGTTGAACTCTTCCTCTGCCTGTTAATAACATGGGAATGACAGGATCCATTAGTAGTCACCGTGGAAGTGTGGCAGTCACTTATGGAGAAATCACAAGACCCAATGATAGAGTTAAGTTACCTTAGCATCAATTTCCTCTACTTTTTCGGCAGCTTCTTGCTCAATGAAGGCCATCATGTGCTTGATCTGCAACAGACACGAAATATAATGTAACAGCTAAAGTACAAGTTTATGTACAACTAAGGAGACTTTGACTTCACCATTGTGTGGGAAATACTCAGAATTACCCAACTAAAATGGTTACAACAGTCTTAACAGGTAATAACAAAACATTTGAAGATGCATTGTGTAACTTTTCTGGTGGAGGAAGAAAACGAATTGCTTTCGTAAATGTTTCTCAGTATGGTATTAAACATTTTTTATCTTCATGGAGACAAAACCAGACCAACTTACAGGTCAAATCTGTGCAGAGGAAACCCAAGTATTTTTCAAATGTAAAACCACCTGTGATTGAATAAGATAATAATGTAAGGTAGAACTGTTTAATGTCATACTGTGGAACATTCCAGATCGAGCAATGACATATCCTTAGAAATAAGCAATTGACAGACCCCCAACCAAAAAGTTACACAGTGCACCTTTAAAGACCAGGCCATTTTAATGCACACAAATAAATATGAAATGTCAGAGTTTAAGCTGAGACTGACTTGAGTAACCGACTTGTTATTATCAAAACTTGGGTAGCCTAAGGGCAAACTTGAACTTGTTTATCTTACTCAAACACTCACACAGGGTCTGACCGCGATAAATACAATTACCTGCTTCTGGACGTCTGCATCTGTGAGCGCCATTTCTTTCGTTAAACTAGCAAAGTAACCTATATTTAACAATTAAAAAACAAAGTTGTGTTCTCTGTCGTTTACACACTTCTACTCTAAAATAGTTTGAGGCACGAGCTGTCCTAACACGTTCCGCTCGTGCCCACGGTCAAGTTACATCTGTAAAACACCAGAAAAGTCTTTCAAAATACAGTAAACACACATTGCACTTGAACCGAAATTAAATACAGGTATCTAATTGCGTTGCTGACATATAGTTCAAGTGCAAATTATCTGTATAATTTAGAAAAACAATGAAAAACTAATGATAAGTAATATTTGGCCAGAGCTCTTTTATTTGGAAGGAACAGTCCGGTACTGTCTCTTCTTTTGACTTCATGCTTTTTTCACTTGAGCTGAACTTAAATACAGATATCTAAATATTAATGTTACCATATTGTTCAACCATAAACTGTCAAAGTAATATAGAAAACCGCTGGAAAATAAGAAATATTTGGCCATGGCTATTTTATTTTGAGGGAACAGTCCGGTACCAAAGCTGTCTCAGGTGTGACCAGACGTCCCTATTTACCTGGTCCAGTCCAAGTTGTGAACCCCTTGTCCCCAATTCCTGCAGATTTATCCAAACCAGTGATTTGTCCCAGTTTTATATAAGAAATGTCCCAGGTGTCCCTATTTTTTGACCAATCTGATACCTGTCAACAGTAAAGAGAAGCAATGCCATTTGTTTAGGTAAAATACAGAAAAGCACAAAGAAAATGTGACTATGCTGACTGACATTAGTGTGCATAACAATGTTCCTTAATTACGCACTTATTTCACAGTTTTATTATAACCAACCACTTCAAACCAGGGCCGTCCCAGTTTTTTTTTTTTATCTGGTCACCCTAGTCTCCTCTTTTAGCTTTTTTCACTTGAGCCAAACCTAAATACAGATATCGAAATACTAATGTTACCATAATGTTCAACAGCAAACTGTCAAAGTAATTTAGGAAACCGCTGGAAAGTAAGAATTATTTGGCTATGGCTCTTTTATTTTGAAGGAATAGTCCGGTACCAATGCTGTCTCCTCTTTTGAGTTTTTTCACTTGAACCAAACTTAAATACAGATATCGAATACTAATGTCACTTTATTATTCAACTACAACCTGTCAAAGTAATTTAGAAAACCGGTGGAAAGTAAGCTCTTTTGTTGGCTCTTTTATTTTGAAGGAACAGCCCGGTACCAATGCTGTCTCCTCTTTTGGTTTTTTAGCTTAGCCCCTCAGCAGCAGCACAGGGAGCACACCGTGTACTTGTCTTTTAGTGCTGGTGGTCTCTACTCTGTCAAGGCATTGTGTTAACTCCTGATCAGTCGTTTGTGTAGCCTACACCGTGTTGCCTTTTACGGTAGGACGGTAAGAGTGCAGCCTTACCCCTTAAATTTGCAGGAATTACATGTTTTATGGTGTGAAATAGCATATGATCGACACATGTTGTAGAGCTAGCTAAGGTGAAAGCGGGTAGTGGGCATGGCATGACCACTCTATGACTTTTGTTTCAGAGGTCATTCGTAGGCCTATACCCTAAAGAGGCAATACGATTTATAACATTACTGCTCATTTTGTGTTAAGTACAAGCATGGCCATTGTGTGTACTGTAGTGCCGCATATAATGCAAAGGTTTAAAATATGCTTACTGCACTACTACTTTATATATTCACTTATTTACTCTAGACACTTCTGAAATAGAGGAGTGCTTCAATTTGTGAGCTGAGTGTAATTTTGTGTAGGCTCTGCATCTGAGGCAATGTTAAATTCCAATCCAATGTGGTTACACAAAAAGGGTTACACGCCCACCTTTTCTCCACGTGGCTACTGTACTTAATTGTTGCCTTTTAGCACTGTATTTTGTCACATTTGTGTTTGTTGTTAGTTTTATTTTTTATTTTGTAGAGCTTATTCATTTGTGAGTTACCTCTCCACATTTTTGTATTTATTTCAGAGAAGTACAAAACAAAGCTCCCTGACATTAATTTCTATTTTTCTCCACAGGTTTAACGTCCTGTTTGGCCTTTCAAACATATGTGCCTAGAAGCATAAAGTGCGTCTGTCCAATGGCAACCTCTGATCCCACCCCCACTCACACTTCTGTGTCTGATGAGTTCTATTATGAAACCAAATACATTGTGCTCAGCTACCTGCGACTGCCTCCGGCCAGGTCACACGCTCTGCGCAGCGCTCAGGGTGAGAGGGCTGGTTTGTGCTGTTGTGAATGTGGCCATGTCAAAGTTGGGGCTTTACAAAACACAAATAGATTTGTATTCATGCATAGCTGTAATGTTTGGGATGGTAAGGACATGGCACCTGTTTCTGCTTGCTTACTGCGTAACAGGACTAGAATTAAAATGGTGCATTGCATTAGCATTATGTTTTAATAAATATTTTTGATAAATAAAAAATGCCTAAGTGATGTGTGAGCTGAACTCAGTTTTGTAAGAAAATGAGCTTGAACAATGGGCTTGAACCTGTGGCATCCTGTATGACTGGTAAATTTCTCATATTTGCACACAACTATTGAAAATGAGTGCTTTGTAAAACAGTATTTTTGTTGACTAAAGGGGAAAGCAAACACATTTTCCAGTGTCTTTTTATTGGTGTGTAAAACAGCGGTGGAGGTGTCAGTTGATCCCAGCTTTCCGCTTGAACCAGTCCAATTTCTGACAGGCTGTCATGTGTAATCACCGCAGGATTACTCACGAGTCAATGGACCAAAGTGAAATAGTTGGCTAGCTAGTTGTCTGGCTAAACGCTGAAGCAGCACCAATACCAGAGAATAACAACAGTGATTCTTAGGGGGTGGGTGTGTGGGTTGCTGCCAGGGAATAACTCACACATAAAAGCCCACTGTCAGTGTAAAGTGATACTTAATTAAATTATCTTGATCCATAGTAAAACTCAGTCTTCTTCATTACTGCAGAGACCCTATATATAAGATATTAATGAAAAAAAATATAAAAATGTTTGATGTTCAGTCAGATATATTGTGGAATAATTCATTTATTTTGCAGGAGATGCACATATGGAAAGACAAAGAACTGATGAGATTAATGAACAGATAGAGGAAGAGTTGAGAAAACTTGAAGATGAGATTGCTTTCTGTAAGTATGCACATATGTAGTACCGGTATCTTATACCCAAAATTGTGACTTTTTTGTGTGAAATCATCATAGTTACCTTTCTTACATAAAAATGACTAGTTACTGTTGTGAATTGTACAAATCATAACTCACCTCATTTAGACTTTCTCCAGCCTATAAATGACTGTGTTTATGCAGCCTCTTCCAGCACAGGTTTTGACCGACACACATCATTGGTCTTCAATCCCACTAACCCTGAGAGTTCGATTGAAGACTGTCTCGCTGCACTCGGAGATCAAGTGGCTGCTGAACTGGATCCACATTTGTCAACTGCTGTGGACACACTCCTTACAGGGTTAGTTCAAATATATATATATTTTTTATTTTATATATATCCTTCTTTATCAAATCATTAATTTTATGTGCTGTTTAGGCCTCTTGACTATGAGAACTTCAGACAAGCCAATCTTAATCTGTCTGTGCACACACATGGGGGCTGGAGTAAGGTATGCAGTACTTTTGTGTTGAAGAAATGCTTTATTCATTTTTATTATTTTTTTTGAGAACACTGACATTATTTTGATAGAAAACTGACTGCTTTTCTGTACAATATATCCTCTCCTAGGTTCTAGTGCCTTTAGTGCTTCTACAAGCTTTACAAGCTAAGGGCCCATCTTTATCAAGTTTGCTGCCACTTGCTGTGCACTTCCTCGAGGAGAATGAAGCTGAATACATCACCCAGCAGGGGGGATGGGTGAGTATTCGCAATCATGCAATACAAAGAATGATGCAAAAGCAAATCCTCAGTACTCTATTTATAGAATTACAAATCATTGAATGGCCACAAGGGGGCGACTGCATTGTTTTTTCACTCTGAATGTTATGGATATGAAATTATAAATGTATTAAAAAGTAGAAGATTATTTATAAGATAGATTATATATAATTATACAGGTTATACAGACCACAGGTATCTGTATTTGTGAATACAATGTTGTTGTTTTTTTACTTTGAAGCAGTCATGTTAAATGTCAAGGCTCAATATACTATGCAAAAATACAGCCATAAAGCTACATTCTTAGTCAGCATTATGTCATAGGGGTTGAACAGATGACCGGACAGGATCAGCAAATGGAGGAGGGACGGTCTTAGCGAGCACACTGGAGAGTGGCAGCACAGGCAAGGGAGGGTGGGCTCAGAGATGAGGGAGGAACTGCATGGGCACGTGAGCCAGAAGTGAAACACCATTAGTCTGACAGCTGGCTACATGCACACTTGCACCAGGGCAACTGGGCTGCTCACCTCTTCTGTTGAAAATCAAGGTAGGACATTTTGCTTTGTCCTTAGAATTACTATTATTCTAGCATAGTGCAAGGTACAAAGCAAACATGATTTTGTTGTCATTTTCTGAATGCAATTTCTGGTTGACAGCAGCATTAATTGTTGTCTTTTTAGAGGAATACAAGGACTGTAAGCTTGTTGTAATATTCTGTTTACTGTCCGCAAAAGGGGCTTGGGCACTGCAAATTCTGCAATTGGCTAAAAGTGTTTTAGAGGTTGACTTTGATGACTGTGACCTGCTGCTGTTTATTGTGTTAAGTCATTCAGAGGTAAACAATGAGGGGTGACACAAATAATGATGAGTAATATTTATGGGTGGGATGAGTAGTATTTTCTCATTTTACCTTGTGTTATGTAACATTAATGTCCAGTTTAGAGGAAGCAGGTCACAAATATAAAAACATATTTGTTAAAAAAGCAATAGTGTTTTGCTTCGGGTAGTGGTACATTTGTAATATGAGGCTTTGTTGGCACACCCTCAAGTTGGAGGTAGAGGAATAGGAATGCACATTTTTTTGCATGTTAACTTTGCACTGATATTTTAGGGACAAAGTGCTTCTGCTAGTAAGTCAGGGCAAGTCACACTGCACCATGTACTGTGTCAACACTAACATTATGTAACCACGCTCTTACGTCTGCCGTGGTGAAATCTGCACATTATAGTGCCCTTTGGCTTTGGACATCATATTATAATGGAGCAGAGTGTCTCTACAAACTGAGAAATTCCCAAAATAACTCTCAGTTAATTCTGTAAAACATCAGCAGGGGTTTGAGTCTCCCACTTGTGTGTGAAAGCTCAAACCAGCAGCACATGGGGGCTTTCTGCAGAGGATATCCAGGGCTTTAACAGGGCGTCCATTTGTCCTGCCTCAGTCACATCACTATGCTGTCATATAAAAACACTTACCTTTCAAGCAGATTACACAGCATTTGACAGTTTTATGTGTATTACTTCTCCACTTCAGTGTAAATTAGTCTTAATCTCATTTTGGCCAGCATTAATATTTTACTGCACAACTGGTAGATTAGTTACCTCCCACATGAACGTTATGAGCGATATATTGGAACTTTCCAACTGAATTAACTTGTATATAAACAATGGCTAATGCTAAACTGTAAGATAAATATATTTAAACTGTAAATAAATGTTTCTAACATGTTACACAAGTCACAGACTATTCTCAGAATTAACCTGTATTAAATGTTTATATTGTCTATGTGGTGGTGAACCACTCAGATCCACTTCTGTAGTGATTGTCATTGTTGTAATGCATCACAGTTTAAGTGCGAGTCTCTTGACCATTGCCAATTTAACGAACGGGAATTGTCAGTTTGAGTGCCAATCCAGGGCATGTCAGAGGTGGGACAAATCTGCCTGGAACACAATTTAGAGCGGGGGTCTCCAATGTTTTTCCTCCAGTGAGCTACTTTTACAAAATGAAAATGCTAGAGTTACCTATTTTATCAGTCGCACAGAAATTTTGTATATATAAGAGCCTCGGTAAGCCTTAGATGCAGAAGAGTTAGATGCCTATAAAACATAAACCATTACCTATTTATCAGTGCACAAAGTTAGGTATGAAAATGATACATTTACAATGGTAATTAATCAGATTTTACTTATTCTGTACAATACATGGAATTCAGAAATCCCTTGGTGAACTACTTTGAAGGGGGTGGAGAGCTACTGGTAGCTCCTGAGCTAAAGATTGGAGACCCCTGGTTTAGAGGTTTCACCAAGATATTCAAGCTCTGTTAGGGCTAATATTATTTACATATGAAATAGACAAAACATTTTTATGACTATTTATGGCTTCTATATGCAAAAATACATAGATAATCACACGATTTGGTGCTAAATATAGGATTGCTGTAAATTTACATTATAAGGTGCTGCTAATGATCAACATGTGCATCCTAATTGGAAAGACTAGAAAGATGAGCAGCTGTACAGTAATTAGTCCAGGTCACTCCCATGTAATGTGTAGCTCACCAACTCAGTCCTGTGTTTAACTTACTTTGTTGCACACAAAACTAGATTGTACTGGTAAAATATTAATTTACATTGCTGATCCTTCTTATATTATTATCCTTTAGAACTAGCACTACCAACCCTCACTTTTCTTTGATTATTGATAAACATGATATTTTTTCCATTTTGCTTTTAATTTTCCATTCCCTTTCTTGTTAGAAAAATGTGTTATATAATGGCAAAAATAGCTGTACATTTAATGCTATGGCTTGGTAATTCCACTAGGTGGCATTATACACAAACGTTGGTTAAAAACATCACTATTTGTACAACCCCAACATAAATTATTCATTTATTGTATATGATATACTTACTGTTCTATCTTTCACAGGGTAAGGTCTTTGGCCTTATATCTGAGGAGGAGCGAGGGGTGACCATAGCTGAGGATAGTAACGACATTTACATCCTGTCAGGAGAGCAGCATCCAGACCAGCTCAGCCCTCCTTCGTCTCTGTTGTGCACCGAAGGCAACAGCAGTGGGCAGAGCTCCTGGCAAACTGAAAGCTTACCTGTGTCACTAGCTGCTCACGAGTCCTGGGCGCAGGTCGCTGCTATGGACCCTGAAGATGCCAAAAGCCTAGACAGCAACGAAGGTGTAGCATTGGTTGAAGAGCGTAGTGAAAATAACTCCTCAAACTCTGACATTGTTCATGTGGAGCGTGAGGACGCTGAGCTCCTGGAAGCCGGTGAAACTGAGGCTATAGAGGAGAGCATGATGAGTGTCTTGGGCACAGAGAGTGATCTTGCAGCACTCAGGGAAGAATACAGGGAGCAGACGGCACCAGTTCCACCTTCATATGAGTCTGCAGCACCAGCTTCACTCATGTCACTGGAAGAACCTGTAGTAATAGAGACACCTCCTAGTTTGTCCGCTGAGCCTTCTTTCATCTCATTAGAAGAAGCAGAGGTTCCTGTGGGGGCTCCAGAGGCTGTGGCTACCCCCAAAGAGCTACAACCTGTTCCTGCTGTAGAACCAGAGTCTGAGCCAGTCCCAGTGCCTGAGGAGCCTGCTGCTGTAGCCATTGAACCCCTGATTGAAAGTACCCCAGCACCAGAAGTGAAGGCTGGTTCCGAAGTACCCATTGCAGTAGAGCCTACTGAAGTGCCTGTCCCCTCAGAAGAGCCCCTTCCCCAAACTGAGCACGTGACAGAAGAGCTGGTCCTGGAGGCAGAAGCGCCGCCTGTGGAAGCTCCTGTCATAACTCCTGCTCAAGAACCACCTGCAGAACACCCAGTGGAGGCAGCAGAAACAGAACCTGCCTCTGATTTTCCAGTCCTGCTTTATGGGGGGGCAGCTTTGGCACTTATCACGGCCATTATGGCATATGGCGTAATTTCTTATAGAAGGAAGTAAAGAAAGGACTTTTCAGAAGGACCTTTTGTTGATGTAGAAATAAAATTAGTACACTTAATGAAACAATTCTTACAAGGGATTCAAATCTGTGCTTTTAAATAAATCTCACCAGCAACCAAAACACCTTTACGACTTGTTTAGCTGTGGATTAAATACAAATATGGCACTCCACTTTTATTGTCAATTTATGATTCACATGCCAACACATAAATGTGGTTATAATTTTAACTATTCTGACAAAGGGTTTCAGATTGTGTGGGTTGATTGTGGCACAATGTGTTGGTGATAGAAACGTCAAGTCTACTTCCTGTTTTTTCATGCCTTTAATACTGTACATTGCTACAGTAGATGGCTTTATTCATATGCAAGTTATTTAAAACATGTCATATACAAGAGACAAACACGTTACTATGCAATAGTACACTAAATGTAATTGAACAACATTGTGTAAAATGCATCTGTCCTGTCAATGTTGTGTTTGAAGAGTGAATGGGTGTAAAGAAGATGAAAACATACTTTGTATTCCGTACATTGCAGCACTTCAGTAAAAAAATAAACTCTTAGAATGTCTTGTTACGGTCAGCTAATTTAACATAATTACATTTAATAGAAGACAAACCATTGTTTGAGACTTACAAACGTTTATCAGAATAACACTTAAATCAAATGCAAAATATAACATTCAAGTAAAAAATGAAAATCAAGTATTTTAGGTTTATGGTCACTCAAAATCATATGACTGATATTCACCAATAACTGCTCAGGCTGAGCTTTCTTTTTTAAACCACACTTCATCAGTTCAGTCAAAATAATACTACAGGCAAACCTGTCACTAATCACTGACATTCACTAATGACTGCTCAAGCTGAGCAAGTGTTCTTTTTTAAACCACACTTCAGTTCCTTCCTCTGTAGAATGTCACTTGCCTCCTGTAGAAGACAAGTACTGCAGTGTTGTGTGAAATAAACCCCTTAGCAGCCAAGGAGCCTGTAGACACACTCCCTTTACCAGGGTGAAAGTGAGAGCTGCTACCACACGCTCTTGTTGTAGATTGTCCAGCCCCACTCCATGTGCTAGTATGTGCTGGACTTCCCGGTGAAGATGGTCTTTCCAGTGCTATAAAACAGATTCAGTAATATTCAATAATTTTGCACCATTAACCTCAACCTTTGAACAAATCCACTCAACTATGAAAAACTTACATCGATAGAGGATCCCAGTAGGTTTCTGGTGAGGTTCCCAGTGGCATGAGCAACAACATTAAGTTCAAGGTTTGCAGCTATTTCACGTATTTCTGCTGCAACCTGCTGAATGTTCTCTGCTGAAAGGAGAAGTAAAAGAGTAAAGGTTAATCAAATCAGTGACTGAGATTTAGTAATTATGAGCTTGATAGTGGTGCAGAGACTAGGCTGAGCTAATGCAACATTATTGTGCCTGAAAAGAGCACAGAAACAGTGTTATGAATAGGATCAGTGGAATCTCACCAGGGCCATTTTCATCTAGAGAGGCTTCCATGCCCTCAAAGGCGATTCTGAGGTTACTGGACAAGTGACCGTCGGTCTCCAGATCTCCATCAGAGTCCACATCGCCACAGTGCAAGACGGGCAGTGAAGCTCCAGTGCCTTTGAAGCCTTTGGCTCTCAGAGACAGCAGCTCTTTGCGGTATTCTGGTGGACAGTCTCCGGAGTCCGCCTGAAGGAAAGTCCAGAAGAGCACAGAGCACTGTGCCCTCGATAAACTCCCATTGTCCCCCATCCGAAATGAAAATGTTAGGTCAACCTAAAAAATAAGTAACTAATGAGGTTCAAAGTAATACATGTAAACACTGAACAATTGATCTATACTAAGTATCCATTTAAGCAACTCATACATTTTTTGTAGTTCGCATATCAAATCAAAGAATTGTTAGCAGATCATGCTAACAGTACTTGCCATTTAGTTTCGAAAGTTTAAAGACATTTTCCATTTCCTCCTTGACTCAAGTCACGTTTATTCTACTTACATTTAACTTTGCGGTGTGACGAAGAAGACACTACGCAAAATGTAAGTGATCTCTGCCAAAACAGTCTTAAACCCTCAAACCTGCAGACACAACGCGCCGCGCATCTGGTTGTTTTTGTCGCGGAGTGCGGTGGATGCAGGGGGCGGATCTTCTCTTGGCGGCTGTTCGCTGTCCTGTGGTGTTCGGTTTCTTCCTTTATGAGATCATACCCACGGCAACAAAACTCAGTGATTATAGACCCTTTAATAGCTTTAGAGAACTATAATGCAGTACAACTTTTAGACTGCATAGGAATCCTGCACCGCTGTAACACTATGGTTCAGAGAGATAAGTCTGGAAAGTCCCAGTTGTGGTTTTGTTCACAACTGTTCTGCATTAATCATGCCACTCACAATAACTTAAAATTGTTAAAATGTTTATTTACAGTAAATTAAAAACGCATTCGAATCCAGACATGTCAGATGAGGCATTGTAGTAGTAGGCATATAGACAAAAGCCATGTTAGCAGTATCAAACATGGGCTAATTCAGTAGGGGACAGGAGTAAAGTATGGGGGCCCATCAGACCCCATACCCTGAACACCCAAAGCTCATGGAGCGTGCTACTTTCCTGCCAACAAGTCTTCTGCCCGAGTTGAGTTGAGACCTCAACTTCTCAATAGGCTTCAACTTGAGATCAGGTGTCTGTTTTGGTGAAAAGGCAGCCAGACGAGCCTCCTTCAGTTCTCTGTGGGTTAAACATGTATTGTAATCACATCCTGTTTATGCTCTTTACTTCTATTTTACTTTAATTACAATTTTAGAATTTTAGTATGAGGCTACTTACTTTTCCAACATTGCAGACCTAAACTTCTCAACATTTAGCTCTTTACGTAGCTGAGCAGCTAGTTTTTCTGACCCTTCATCCTTCAACACTGGGTGCTTGCAGAGCTCCTTAGCAGATGGCCTCTTTGCTGGATCAGGGTCTATCAATAACTACAAAACAAAAACAATTTAATCAAATTTTATTCTATTTTTTTATGTAATTTTAAAACAGTATACCTGAAGTAAAGCTCCAAAAGGGGGTGAAAGGACCTGTGGGAGTTTGGGGAGTTGGCCCTCTCTGAGACTATGCCACTCATCTCCATTTTGAGGAAGTGGAGTGGCTCCAGCTGCCAACACCACCGTAAGGCCCAGAGCAAAAATGTCAGCTTTAGGAAGTTGGCTGTAGTCCTGTAGTAAGTGTTACATCCGTTGTCTGTTTAGAAAAGTACAAATCTAGATAGAGTAACAAACAAGCTGAAACTTTACTTCATGTAGCACTTCAGTGGCAAGAAAGCGACTGTCACCCTCTTCGACTTGAGGATTGTTAGTTGACGTGACATGTCCAAGGTCCCCTAGAAAATTAACAACACATCATGTGTAAAGCCATCCTCGGATCAGGCATGTTCTTACAACAAAACCAACCTATTTTATAAATTACACCAGCAGACATGCTGGTTTCATCTTCCTCTTCACTTTCTCCTTCACCTGCTGAGGCACTTTTGCTTTGTTGCTGGCAAATAAAAATATTACCTGCAAGCAGATTTAACAGAGAATTTTAAAATGCCATATGCAATTGCAGCCTTTTCACATTTGAGAGAAGACCCTCCTGAAAACTGCAGTTTATATTTCCATGTTTTTGTCTGAATTGATTTACTTTTGTAAGTAAAATTGTGGAACTTGGCCAGTGGTGCAACAGAAAACAACAAATTACTAATTATAGACTGTTTCTCTATCTGATGTATGTAGTAGAGTATACAGTATGCCTTCTGTACCAATCACCATTTACCATTGGTGAGACTTACTTGGCTTGATGTCCAGGTGTACAAGGCTGGAACTGTGGATATATTTTAGACCCATGGACACTTGAAGAAGCAAATCTTTCAACTCAGCTTCTGAAAAAAGTTCTCCTTGCTCCTCCTTCTTTACAATGATGTCATTTAGACTTCCACCTTAGTCCCAAGACAGAAATAAACAAACATTTCTGTCCAGTGTAAAATGTGTCTAATCTTACCGTCACAGTATTCATTCTGAATAATCATGTGATCATCTTCTGCCCAAGCTGAATAATATCGGACAACATGTGGGTGGTGTCCAAGAACAGCATGTGCATACACCTCCTTAAGAGCCAGCTGTCTACAGAAAAATCAGAAAGATCCTTTAGTTAAGACCAGTGAATAATAAACTAGTTATTGACATACAGTTGACTCACTCATTGGCAGAGCCTGCAAGTGGCCGACGAGAGCGTTTAATGGCATACAAGCAACCGTCCAGCCTCTTGACACACTTATAGACTGCCCCAAACTCGCCCACGCCAATGCACTCCAGCTCCAAGAACTCACTCTCGTACCGCGATAGCATGAGGGCCTGCACAGCTCGCCTCTGCCAGATAAACAGATGGGAAGTCCTGTGTTACAGAAGTCTCTGAAGGAGAAAGACGTCATAGAGCTTGTATGGGCTCGTGCGTGCCTACAAACAAGAGTTTTTCTTGGGCATGAAACCAAATATGGTACGATTTCCACCAGAAAAGAGGTTTTGTGGAAGGCTGACGAGCTTTTTACGGTGATTCCTTAGAAAATCCGGAAGATGACTGTCAGTGTGCCATTTTGGACAACACAGACAATATGAGGAGGTGGAACGAGATGAATGCTGGTAATAAAAAACATTAAAAAAAACAGCTGAGGCAACTATGTGGGAGTACACACGCACGCACACACACAAATTGTACCTTTGGTGGAAGAAATGTTTCATCATCCTCCTCAGATGATGTGAGACTGTGTTTGATTCTGTAAGACATTATGAAGAGAAGTTATTTTAGGCTGAGATGCAGGACCACACTTCACGCACACCTATTGCTGTCACTACTATACATTACATATTATATATTTCATCTCCTCGCTCGCTCCGTCCCTCCCTCCCTCTCAAACCAGCCTGAATATCTCTGGTCTATAATGATCATTGTCTGCATCAGGTTGCCCAAAGTTTATTATTATTATTCGGAGGGCCAAAAAAAAAAAGTGCATTAGCGGGTCGTGGGGTAAACCTAATGCCAGTTTGCACATAAAAATGTTCTTCTGCAAAGAAATGTATGATTACACGGACTTACACTGGAATATTAGGAAATAGACAGGACTGGGCTTCTTCTCATCTAACAGTCTTTTCAAATCAAAATTGAATCAAAATAGATTAAAATTTCAGAGCTCTTTCGCAGGCCAATTTAGATGCCCCAGAGGGTCAAGTTTGGCCCACAGGCACCCTTTGGGCACCCCTAGTCTACATGTAAAATAAAGTCAAGGTGGTCCTTACTAATGGATGGGCATAATCATAAGCTTGCCAGATGTACTTTGATTCCCAGTGTAGTGTAACTTGTGTGTACCTGCGGCCATAATCATCGTCATCGTCACTCCTGAAGCCATGTTTACACTGCTGCTCGCTCGTCCGACGCACCGTGTCTGGAGTGAATGGGTTTACATTGACAGATGGAGCCTGGACACTCTTTAAGGGTAGAGAGCTAAAACGACGGGACCTCTCGTAGTAACTGGTCTTAGTGCTAGAGCAAAGCTGTGATGATTTTGATAGAAGGCTCTACAAAACAACAAAGGCAATCCCTTCATATTGATAAATGTCTGTCCCTCGGTCATCCAGGTAGAGCACATAGCAAAAGAAAAGTTTATTCTGTCATCTGGACAAAAACATTACAGTGAATAGGTTTCAGTGCTACTCAAAGTAGTTTCTTCAGTTCTGACAGGGTTCTGGTAAGTGACTAAGAGACAATAATGAGTATTAATATTTACTGTAAACAATGCGAGTGTGCTAGTTTCAGTGTAGTTAGCTCCTTCCTTTAGATAGATATTTAAGGCTGCCGCTTACTAGACCCCTGTCAGAGCCGAACATGATGCTTAGAGGTGGCTCTCTAAAACCGTCCAGTTGACAGAATAATTTTTGAGATATTGATGCACAAATGTTTTCATGTGAAGACTGTACCCACCTTTGGCGTGCTTGGAGAGTCACATAGCCTCAGTTTTCTCCAGGACGCATACGGTATGGGGCTGGTGCAGTGGGCAGGTGAGGACTGTGTGTGGCTCCTGCGATGGTGCTGGGCTACAGGTGTTCTGCAGGTGGGGCTCTTGCTCTGGATCCTAAAGCTGTACTCATCCAGGCTGTTGTCACTGTTGCTGCTGTCCTCATCACAACTGGAGAAGTATAATTGCTGACTGATTCCTCCCAATGCCTCCATGATTATGGGCTTTGGAAAGTGACAGAATCATGATCATTACTGGCTTAAGTCAATGTAGACTTCAGTGTTTACTATGAAGGGCACAGCCAAAAAAATCCAAGTGAAATTGGCAAGCAAATAGGCTATCACATAAGATTTGTCTTTAAAAAATAAGCTCATAGTTTACATAAACATACTATATCTACCTACTACAGGCCTACTCCACTTACATTACTTACCAGCCAACCCACTCTTCTGGCTTAACCACTATCTTGAATTTAGCGCCACAAATGTAAATCACTTCCTGTTTAAGTAAACTCAGCCAAGTTTTTGATTGGCTGAGCTTTTCTGGAGCGCGCACCTGGCTTTGAGGGTTGCCAACGCTCACGAACCCATCAACATTTTTTTTGGCATAATGCATCACATTGCACAACCTAGTAAAAAAAAAAAAGCTATAAAGGTTAAAGTTGTCAACGCTATTTTTCAAATGGTCATAAAATATTGCTAAACCTGGGCCCTGTGCTGCTCAGTGAGGTGCAGAATAAGAAGAGCCTGAATGTTTTGGCTCCACAGTCTGTATATGGCTCTGGCCTCGTCGTCATGTGGGCGGAAGTGTGTGACGTAATGACAACAGAGAGCAGAGGAGAGGCTGGAGAGGGAGAGGCTCCGTCAGTGGATGTGACACGCTTACAAATAGATTGGAAAACAAGCCAGGGAGCGGCTGTAAACCATGTACAGGCATCAGGGACACATTTAACGCGTTTGTTTAGATTTTAAACCGTCTTTGTTCCGCCCGTAGTTTCTCTCAGATTGGTGAGATCATGGTGGAGCAGTCGGACCGAGCCCCGCTGCTAGATTGGGAGGAGATCCCACGTCCAGACCCGACCAAGGCGGCTTCCCCACAACGAGACGCAGCAGCGGAGAAAAGTTCGCAGGCGCCAGTGCGTCCACATGGGTGCATTGCGGTGGACTCTACCGTCACCTGCACTCCGAAGGGTGGGACTGTGGTTCGTATCGTGGAGCAAAATCCGGCCCGTCCTCTTCTTGAGCCCCGTGGGCATCGGAGGGAGCATCCGTGCTACCACAGCAGAGATCGCAAAGATGCTCATTTCCCCGTGCTGGCACTGAGAGACCAGTGGGAGGAAAAGGATCAGATTGTGGCCGTTTTTGTAGTTACCTTTGATACAAGATCAGGTGAGCATGATTATTATGTTGTTGACTATGGACTGAGTCATAAAATAATTAGGCCTAAATTAAATGCTATGAATTATATGGTCTGTAGCCAACCTATTTGTATCTTAATTCTACCATATGGCGTATCATACTGAACAATGTGGCTGCCAATTTGTCTGTATTACATTGGAATACATTAGATATCTGCACAAAATAGTAGTTTATTATCGCCTCCTATGTTTCACAACTTACTGTGAAACTGAGAATTTGAAACGCTGTTACTAAGAGGTACTACTTAAGGTCCTCACCTCCAACAAGTCTTTAATTCTTCTTGATTAATGTCATTTCACTTCCTCTTATTTCATGGTGCAATCAACTAAAGGGCATGAAGAAATAATGGAAACAACACTATTGAAGCTTTCTGTTTTAAATGTATGGGACAGTGTCAGGTGGTCACACTTGCTGAGTCAGTCTGTTCTCTGTCCTTGAACTCTACAAAGGCACAAGTGAAAGACAGAGTCAGAATGAAGAGGAAGCGGTTGAGATGAAAGTGTGGATGACGGTGTGATGAGTTGTAGAAGTTTTATTTCTGTATTTATGTGTTTCTCCTTCTGAATCACAGGGAACATGGTGGAGTGGTGTTTGCCTCATGACATAAGTCTGGATGGGGTTGAGTTCAAGTCGATGGCCAGTGGTTCTCATCGCATCACTAATGATTTTATGTATGTAGCGTAAAGGGTCCATATTCCACTATGTTCTTGTTGTTGCTGTAATGTTTCCTCATAAAAACATACCTGGACCTAAGTTTTGTTTCATTTACACATGTTTAACTCACAAATCCTACATATTCAAGATTCTGTCAAACTGAAAATATTATATATGAAAATAACATACCTTGTGATGTCAGGTTTTAATACAGGAAGCGCTGCACTGTGTTTTTAAACTTAATATACCTTCACTAGAATCATTTGGATGATTTCAGCCCTGAATTTGCCAATCTCTACTGAACAAAAGGTAAGACGTAGCTGAAAACTACTGCTTCATGACATCACAAGGTGGAAGAGAGCGATTTGAGCTTTGATGATAAAGACAAATGAACAAAACAGGATCACTCAGACTTCTGTGAATGAAATAAAACACAACTCCAGGTATGTTTTTGATGAGGTAACAGCATTATAACATGTCTTAAAACTCATAACACTCAATTTTACATAATGTAGGACCTTTAATTTGCTCTCTGTTAGTGGAAAGTATTGTTACATTTTGAGACAACTTTAAAGTAAAAGCCAACTAATTGAATTCCTGTGTTGCACTTTTTAGATATTTCCGTAAAGGCTGTTATTTTGGACTTGCTTGTTTTGCCAACATGCCAGTGGAGAGTGAGCTGGAGAGAGGAGCCAGGATGAAGTCTGTAGGAATACTGTCTCCTTCATACACTCTGCTGTATCGCTATATGCACTTCCTTGAAAACCAAGTCAGGTGAGGGATTTTACTGTTTGAGTTAGCCTGAGCCCGGCCTCTACCCTTTTCACACACATGCCGCACAAGAGCACACACACATTTCTTTTCATCTGCCCACTGATGTTCACGCTTTTTGTTTTTCAAATGTTCTCATCTATTAAACATGAGGCTAGAGTCCTAGTAACAGTTATAGCTAAAAGAGCCCATTCATATGCATATATATCAACTTTAATAGTAAATGTTAATTATATTTTAATTTTTATTTCATGCAAGTATTGTATAGGGGTATAGCATTTTACTGTCTGTGTAAGCTTCACATTCACTAAGTATTAGAAGCAACACACATTAAGTTTAATTCAAATGCATGCATGTAAATGAGGGTCTTAGTGTCCATGAGGGTATGAGTCGCTGTTAATGTATCAAACATATTTTTAATTATTACAGAAATTACAAAATGTTTAATACACTATTTATTTCTCCACAGACACCAGCTGAAGTGCCCAGGCCAATACTCTCCACTAGAGGCATTCTATGAGGACAAGAAAGCTGTCCTACCTCAAAAAGGAAATGGCCTTGTCAATGCCTGTCCAACCTGGAGTGTAACTAACGTAAACCGTTGCATGCACCCTGAAATGAAGGTCTGATTTCTTTCAGTTTCATACATTCTCGTTAATTATGACAAATGTATGCCAAAAAAAATAAAACTATTTGGCTGTTTGTTCCAACATAGATTACACACCCAGCTGGCTGCATGTCCCAGTTCATCCAGTTTTTCGGCGAGCATATTATGGTGCTGTGGAAGTTTGCTCTGCTAAGAAAACGTCTTCTCATCTTTTCCCCTCCACCTGTAGGTGTGGTCTGCTACAGAGGTGACATGCTTGAACAAATATTTAATTAACATTTGGTTTTGTTACTATTTAATTTGCATAGATGTATGATACCCCTTGTACTTTTCATGTACAGTGTACTGTCTTTGCTGTCTGGCTAACATCTCAATACCTGGGATTGGAGTGTCTGTTCCAGAGTTACGGCCTTTCTTCTATGTCAATATAGCTGACATCCCTGCCCTGGAAACTGAAATGTCATATGTGGCTTGTATGTAAAACATTTACTTAAAATGATTTAGCTCTTATGACATTAATTATTAACTTACAAAACAATGTGTTCTGATTCAAGGCACGACAGAAAAAATATTTGAGGAGAAAAAGGAGCTGTATGACGTTTACATTGATAACCAGAATGTAAAAACACACAGAAGCCACCTCCAGCCACTGCTGCGAGTCAATGCAGCTGATAAAGAGAAGTACAGGAAACTCACGGAGCAAAGGTACCTCATTCCTTTAGTGAATATTTAACCATCTTCTGTGACTACTGCCTCAACAATATGATCATAAAATTGTTGTGTCTATACAAAGGTGAAGTGTTATTAGAAAGCATAATTTTTACATAATGGAAAAGTTTGTAACGTTTAGCCGCAAAGTTGATAATTGGGACGGATGTTGGTATCACATCAGCGGTAGAAATGCAAATTATTATTATCATTTTCTCTAGGCAAATGCTGCTGTACTCACAGGAGATTGATGCTGACTGCACCTCAAATGAAGAGGATCTTTTTATTCTGTGAGTCAGTGGCAGATTGGTCCAGCCAAGACAATACTAATGGGTATCTTTGGCTAATGGTGTTTTTTCACTTCTTTTCACCAGGTTCTTCATGGAGCTGAATAACCGCATTTTTCAGACACTTTCAGAGGTGGCAGGCAGTGTCGACCCTACCCTCACCTCTGAGCATGTGAGGGCCATGGGGCTGGATCCTCAGGGGGACCACTCATTTCTGATGGACCTACTGGAGGTCTATGGTATGGACATAACACTGGTCATAGACAATTTGTGCTGCACATGAGTCTTGTTCAATCTGGGAAAAAAAAGCTTTGGGAGGTACTGGATACTCGTGCCTTTTATGGCCAATGCACCAAGACACTGACGACACTGCCTCCTCCCCAGGTCTTATATATGTTGCCTACTGGGTGGTCTATTACCCTATCTGTGTTTGATCAGACTCATGGACACTGTTTGTACGTGGTGAGTTAACAATGGATCGACTGTCTTGGCCTTTCATCTCACAGTCATGCAATACGGTTATTGACAAGAGTTGTTTTTTGTATGCACTTCTATGGCACCTGAAAAGCACTGGAAGCTGATCTCTTATTCCCACTTGATTTCGCACATGTTCAAAGAGTTTAATATTACATTGTGCTCCAGCAGCATAGTCCTAAAGCCTTCATAAAATGCAAATATAGATACATTTTATATAGATACAAGTTAATGCAATATCATAGGGGCTTTTTTATGTTCCCCTTATACTATTTTGTCAGCATTAGGTTTTATCATGTATCACATTTGCCTTGTTGAAAAGGTATCAATAGAAATAGAATTGATAACCAACAATTTAACTAATTGACTAACATTGTATTTTGCTGAAATGGTTCTACTTTTTGTTTTGTTTATTTTAGGTGGTCAGATAATTTTTCTTTAGCTAGGAGCATACAGATATTTTATTATTTAATGCACTTTTTTGGAAAGTGTAATTATGTCATATATGTGAGGGCACTGGAGATGGCTACATGTTTAAATGTTTATAATTAGTGAAGACTTGTGGATGTCTTTTACCTGTTCAATGAATGTGAAGTTATAACTAACCTTTCACAAATGCTGCACCATGTCTGACACTGGACTGTTTCCTATTATACACCGTGTTTGTATATTGTTGGGTGAGGATGTCATTTAGCCAGCAAGTTTATTCTAAAGTAGGTGAAATATGCAGGAAAAAAGTCTGACCTGTTGAAAGCATTTGGGGCATTCAAACGCTCTTGAGAGAGAAGTCTTCCACTTGTCTCTTTGGCAAATATGTATGATAACAATAACAGCAAGAGTAAAAGTTTAAGTCCTCCTTCATTGGCTATTAGACAGGGAGGCAGTCTGCTGTGTTCTGAGCATCTGATTCAAAGCGGCTCTGCAGTGTATAGTACACCCAGATGAAACTCAAAATGTAATGGCTAGTTTTGAGCCAGCTATCTATTCTTATGGATTTTTAAATGATCTCTAGAATGCATAATTAATGTGCAGAAGGAAGTCAATGTAATTATGTCAATACATATTTCATAAGCTGGGAAAGGCAGAATTTTATAAAGATTTATAGAATGGTTTCTGGGAGGGTCAGTGAAAAGTGCACTAAAAGCTGTATAAAGAAATGGGTGTTTAAGCTTTACTTCAAATGGGGCCTTATGGAAACGTGACATTTGTTATTGTGTGTGTCTTTGTTAAAAGGATTTATTCTTTTTAAATACTATCCAATAATATTTGGATTGGTAGGTTTATAATTCCGCTAATATGTTCTCCCATTTTAGTGTTTGCCTTTTGAAGATTTGCATATACTGTTAAAATCACTGGACTAAACACTAAGTGGAGACATTAACACATTTCAGCTTAGATAAGTAGTAGTTCACTGAATGTCATAGAAAACAACCACATTACATAGTCAGCACAGTGGTCTTAGCACTTCCAAAATCCACAAATAAATCCATATCCACACATCAAAGAGCTGTCTGAGTTGTCAGTAATGTAAACTGAGGTCAGAGCATGAGCATATGTTAAGTAAACAGTACTGCCATTGTGAAACAATAAAACATTGTTACAGTCAAGAGTGTCAATGCTTTTGCACTGTGCTTTCCATACCCTGCTATGTTGTATGTACTTAAATAATTTATAATTAAATAATATGGGTTTCTGCACTTTAACTGGACAGGACACTTTACATGGACATACACTTCTAACAGTCAAGACTTTAGCATTACTTCTACATTAAGCATTACAGGTTTTTAGTTTTTAGCATTTCTTCAGGTAGATGTAGTTTGGTTTAATTGTTAATACTATCTCCACTCCACCTCAACATCCATCTGATATATTAAATACATATAGTAAAACAAATCCTTTTTTTTTCTTAATATAGTGGAAAAGACTAACTTTTTGCATAAAGAAAGATAGTGGAATTACACTTTAGTCAGCTCAGAGTCTGTTGTATCCCTGTGGTTGCTACTGTTTTCCTCTCATCACTGCGTTTCTAGCTGGCTTCGGCGCTCTGCACTAATAAAAAAACGCAGTTTCCTTGGCAACAGCCGTACTTCCACTGGCATGGCCTCATACTCCTCATTGTCTATGTTATAGAAGCCACCAGTTCCCTGCAGGGTTAAAAAAAGTAACATAAGAAAAGAAACATTTACTGGTCTACTGAAAAGAAGAGTGCATGATGGACTGTCTCTAACCTCAGGCAGTTGCAGCATGCATGCACTTGCTTCCACTTCTGTAGAAGCCTTAGTAAATATACTTGGGTCTTCGTCCTTTTTGGATCTAGACAAAAGCATAGACGTCGTGTTAAATGGCTCTGCATGTGTTTATATAAATGTGTTTATATACTAGTAAATGTAACTACTAACCCAACTGTGATGAATTCGCTCACAGTGAAGTCATCAGGCTCTGCAGAGATCATCAAGGAGTCATAGATCCGCTGTAAGATTTCATAATTTAGTATTATTTTCCCAAACCTTATTCAAATAGATTTCATTCACTGAACTCAAATCTTGCAGAACAATTTTACAAATACAAACCCTTGTAACTGGATTTTTATTGTGCGTATGAATGCACAGCTCATAGGTAGACAACGTTTTCTCTTCCCACTTCTCAGGCTTTTCGGGTTTTGGAGGCTCTAAAAGGGACAAATACACCACATTCAACAATGAGGATGGTTATGAAAAATTACCATCTCTATTTTCTGCAAAAAAACAAACAAATTTATAGCTGCTTACCTTCAACTGGTGGATTCCAGTAGTTTTTTAACCGTTTCATGATGCGGTGCAGCAAACTAGGCCTGGGGGGTTTCTGAGTGGGTAAGTCAGGGGGGCGTAGATTTGGGGGCAAATATGATATTGTAACTTCTCGTACTAAAGGCCACTCCTGAAGATAGCAAAAAGGAAAAATTAAGATCATAACCACAAGCTCCAAATATATCTTTATTAATCTATAAATTGTAGTGAACAAAAACAATAATCTGGTTTCTTACCTGCAGTGTTTTAAACCAGTGTGCTGCTTTTGTCTTCAGTGGCCCAAGATACCAATATCTATGATCAAAAATTAACAATTACTATTTTGCCTAGATAAATATGTATGTGCGTGATAATCAATTTATCTTACTTGCTAATACGTGAGGCTACATCTCTGAAAGCTCCCCATCGAAGTCCCATAAGAGCAAATACTGGCTGCTCCTTTTCTCCCTACAATCACATACAGTAACAGTAAAAGAAAAAATGCATATAGCAATAGTATAGCATGTATTTATTCTCACTTTGATTTGCAGAACATCTAGTGGCACTGTTTCTCCTTTTAGAATTGAAAGTGTAGCCGAAAGAATATGTCTAAAATACATAAAACCGTTGATAAAAATATGTTGTTCTTAATGGCACAAAATAACAACTGACAATACTTACTTGACTTGGTTGTCACTGAGGAGATGAAGACTTGGGCTCAGAGAGTTGTGAGACCCAAGAGGAATATACCCAATAGGTGTGTTACTGAAATTTTCCTATTGTCATTGAAGATTACAAAGATGTTAAGTGAGATTTTTGTACAAATTACCAATTAAACCAGTTACAAAGATCTACACACCTGGTCTGGTCTACGTAGTAATCCTGTAATCACTTCCTGCAACGTACCATCACCTCCAGCAACAATTAACATGTCTGTCTGTTCCATCAATTCAATTAGTTTTTTGGCTTGTCCTTCATAGTCGGTCTGTGGTTAGAAGAAAGTGTCTTAATTATTATTTTAGGACAGATTTATTTGTAACAAATAAATGAGCACAAACCAATACCTTGACAATGGTAAAGTCGACTCCGGCTAAGTGCAAAATAGGAGCTGCATTTTTCTCAAAAAGTTTGTTGGCTTTTCTGAGCAAATTGAGAAACACAAGATAATATAGAAAATATTAAATTCTATTAATGACAAAAAATATTTTGTAACTGCAAAATGCATTTTCTTACCCTTTGGAAGCTGCAGGGTTTAAAATGACAGTAGCTTTTTTGAGTCGCTCTTGTGAACCAATCAGTTGACGTCCAAACTCCTGAAAGATATAAAATAAACACTATAAATAATTATTGCCACACAATAATCAGAGTTGCATTTATAAGGGAAAAGGTGAAGCGTTACCCTGGCCTCTAAACAAGCTTCCCTCCGCAGGAGATTATCACTAAACGAAAAACAGAAAATAGAGTAATTATTTTATTCAATTGTAGGCTACGTGAAGCCTCTAATAGGTGCTACACCTGAAGAAAAGGTTGGTGATGTGGACAATGTAAGTATAATATACTTAAATCGACATCATATGATAGCCACGCTAAGGATAAGGTGGGGCTGGGAAATTACTTTTCTCACAATCAATATTGTATATTAAAAATACAGCAGGACCCACCAGTGTTTTCCATACAGCCAGTGTCCTCCATATGACAGGACGCAAAAAGCAACTGTTGACTTCTTCCAGTGGTTCCGAAGAGTACGAAACACTCTAACAACTCGGGCCATGATGTTGACGATGAATATTTACATTGCAGAGGAACTAAAACTGATTTGAGGTAACGAAAAAACCTTCAAAGACGATCTACTCTCGGGCATGGGCGATCCAGTGCAACTCGAAAGAAGACGGAGTAAAACAAGACCGTAAAGCATTAGTACCGGGTTATCGGTTCCCACAGATTGTTACTCTATGCATTATGTTGTATTTTGAACAGAATTTAGGATAGCCACAAACAAAAACATATGTTTTAATTGTCCTGTTTCAAATGAACACACACAAACATGTAATATCGTATTTTCAGATAACTATATCATTTGAACTACATTTCCCAATTTTGACAAGACGGGAGCTCGAGCACCCAGGACCCTGCCTGAATGAATTAAAAAAATATAATTTAACAGCTTGGAATAATGAAATAAATGTAGACTATTTTGCTTTGAACTCTACTGCTTGTGTTTTCTCCACAGTTCTGACCCAAAAGCGACAATAATAAGGATATTTTAAATTTCTGACTGGCTCTGCACGGTAGCTTCTGCCCCGCTGTCTAGGCTCATGATGGCGGCGCAGATGGCGGTAAATTCAGGTATGTATTACATTTTTCTTGTATTGAATGGAACCATTGTGCCTTGTACCTATAATATATATTACGTGCCTATATAAATAAATCTGATTTTGCCTGGTTTTCATTTTTTTCGATTGTCGTTTGTTCAGTTTTCTATCCACATGGTGCTCATTCAGAGGGCTGGGCTAATTTAGCTTAGCATCGAAGGCAATAAAATGTATTTTGTCAACAAGTTTAAATGTAGTTTGTTGGAGAACTACTACACTAAAGTATAATATTCGTGGAAATGTCACATTTTCCCTTTGTTCTGCCGGATGAGCCGACTTAAAATCCAATACGTGTATTGTGTATAATTAATATATGTGTATTTACGTGGCGCAAAAGTGAAACTGCGAATATTGTGCATATTGTGTTACACTGCGATTCTGGAAGTTAACATGAGAACACATTTTTTAAAGTCTACATATTGCTGAGAGCAGTTTTGTTATTGTACTGTATAAGAATTGCACATATAGCTGTAAGCATTCAAGTAGAAAGCTGTTCAGTGATTTCACAGTATCTCTCTTCTGTCTCTCTTGGCTTGTCAAGACTTCATTAATTAACAAGGTATGTGTCACTTTCATCTTTTCAGGTGCCAGTATGTGGGGCCCACTCAAAGAGCTCTCAGAAACTGTCAGTGCAGCTGTGACGAGGAAGCAGCCAGACAGTGTCCATCTTCTTGATCTGCTGCTAAAAAAACACAAGTCACACTTTCTGCCACTGTTTAAAAATCCAGTGAGTCAAACATCTAAGAATTCATCGAATTATTCCTTTATTATCAACAATCACGAACAATCTATGATATAATAAGACATCCATTCATCCTGTGTTCACTCTTACAGCCCAAGAGTTCAGAACAGAGAGAGAAAGTACGCAAAGCCAGTACTGAAGGAATTACCGTTCAGGGCCAACAGGGATCTCGCCTCCTTCCAGAGGAGCTGCTGTCAGAAGCCTTCATCCTCAGTGATCTCTTTGATATTGGAGAGTTGGCAGCATTAGAACTCCTATTGGCAGGTAATGTTTATGAATGTGCAGACTGAATGTGCAGTTATTATTTCTTTTTTTTTTTTTTTACTTTTTCCTGTGAGTGTCAACCTCCACACCTTTTGACATTTCACCCTTAGGAGAGCAACAGCAGCCTCATTTTCCTGGTCTAAAACGGGGGCTAGTGGCTGTGCTGCTCTACTGGGATGGGAAGCTTTGTGTGGCCAATTCCCTCCGTACACTAATTCAGTCAAGACAAGGAAAAACATTTACCCTTGAGTTAAGGTTAGCAGAGATCTTTAAATAACCTTACAGTGCTATTTAAATTATATTTTTTTTTAAATAAAATGCGTTTGTTGTTGATCATGCAGTGGAGAGCTTGTGACACTGACAACGCGGTTCACAGATGAACTTATGAGCCAGGGTCTGACCAAACGCATCCTCACCCTGGTTTCTGAGATAAGCGTGACTCGAGAGTTTGAGCGACTACAGAAGGAACGTGGCTTGGGCAATGAGAAACACAGAAAAGAGGTAAATGCTTTATTCATGCTTTAAAAATGTGGTCAGTGCACACTGGGAAATTGATTATACTTCAATACAACCATATATTTAACAGGTTTCAGACTTAATTAAAGAATGCAGACAGTCCCTGGCAGACAGTCTGTTTTTATGGACATGCCAGTCCCCTCTGTCTCAAGATGACACCCTGGCCCTCATTGGGCACCTGGAGACAGTTACAGCTCAAGCAGATGGCTCATTGGACAGTGTCAACCTTGCTCTGGTCATGGCTTTACTCTACTGCATGGATGTCAGTTTTATAGAGCAGGGGACTGAAGACAGAGAAGGTAAGCGCATACTGACTTCTTGTGAAGAACTGATCATTTGCAGCTGATGTCATCAATATTCCCTGGGGGTGTAATGCTAACTTGGATTAATGTAGCCTTTAATCTCAGCTTTATTTAGCACATTCTGACCAGAAAGAGCTGTTTTAGTTGGAAAACAGGTAAATTGATTTGCGATGTTAAACATATCTCACATATTGACCTAACACATAAACCTAAACAGGACCATGAACACAGATATTAATCACAGTCTTCTGAAAATGAGTTGTTTAAATACATAGTTTATTTTTCCCAGACGAACTTAACTTTTTGTGTGCATTGTTTCACCATAGTAACTGCTGAACATTCTGCCAATAAATATACATGTAGAACACCCCCAGCATGATGTCACCGCAAAGCACCAGTAGGACTGTGCATTACTACTGAAAGCTACAACTTTTGTTCCCCTCCAGATTTGCTCCAGGCTTTGCCATTGCTCACAGAGAGGCAGTATGTATCTGCGGTTCACAATCGTCTAATGAACAACCAGCCCTGGAAGCTTCCTGGGCTGCAGGCTGTGTGTCGACTGGCCTGGGCCCTGTTTCTGAGGGTTCTTTCACAGCTCCCCCAAGGATCTGGTAAAGTATCACTAGAAAACTACTGAACCACTAACCATTAGAGTCCACTGTTTGCTTGACCGCTGCACACTCTGTCTCCTGTGGACTCTTTTTTTATTGCTATTTATTGGATGGATAACTTTGCCAGTACTGTTGCACTTGGACTACAAATTTGTGAAAAAGCATTCCTAAAAACAAAACAAAAAAACAAAAAACAATTAGAAGTGCAGTGGAGTAGCAAACAGTGGAATTTAGGCTCACACATTTTTATTGTTACTGTAATGCCATAATTGAATATCTTTTGTATCATCTTCAGCCCTTGTTGAGTTCACTGAGGCAGATGAAGCTCTTGCTGACCAGGCTTTACTTGGGGATGTCTTCCTGTTCATGAAGGAGGGTATTTTGTCATGTGAGAGTTTTACCCAAGAGGAGTTTTACACCCGCCGGCTTCATTCACTCATCACAGACTTTTTGGCACTTATGCCCATGAAGGTAAAAAATGCAATGTATTTATAGACTAAAATATGTTTTTGTTATACACTGTTATGTCATTATGTGTGTGATGCCTGTGCATTTTGTAGGTGAAACAGCTTCGTAATCGCGCTGATGAAGATGCTAGGCTGGTCCACATGTCTTTACAGATGGATAGTGAGCTTCCCTCATCGTTGCGCAAAGATCTCGACCACCTCATGACACTAGTGAGTCTTCTATACACACTAGCGACACTATCTGTTCTTTTTTTTGTGAATAATAAATTTGAGCTATAACATTTACTTCTAGATCGGAGAGTTTTACAGTAAAGACCCTTTTGGACTGGAGCTGGCTTTGGAGTTCTGGTGTCCCACAGAGTCCCTTCAGCACACCAGTCTACATGGCTCCTACTTGGGAATGGCAATCCAAAGACCTCCACATAAACAAGTAAAATTATCCCTTTAAATGGAATTGAGCCTTTCAACTTTGCCTTGTCTTAACTCTTTTTATTATTGTAATTTTGCAGGTTGTTCTATCAAAGTTTGTGCGACAGATGGGAGATCTTCTGCCCTCGACCCTTTACATTTCCTATCTGCGAATGCTCAAAGGGCTGTCAAATGGTCCACAGTGCGCCCACTACTGCTTCAGCCTGCTGAAAACCAATGGACCCACACACAGTAATATTGCCTCATTATCATCATAATCATAATAAAGTATACTTTATAAACAGTTTATTGTGATATTAACAGGTGACAACATTCAGGGCGTATCTGGGAGCCCAGTGTCATGGGAGCACTTTTTTCACTCTCTTATGTTGTACCACGAGAACCTGAGAAGAGACCTTCCAAACCCAGATGCGGCTCACTATCGCCACCCACCAATAAGAGGAATCACTCAGAGAGAGCTGGAGGGTCTAACTGCATTTCTCCAGCTTCTCACTAGTATAATAACATGGGTAGGTGACTTTGAAATAAAATATAGCACAAACTAAACACGTGCTCCAATATTTTAATCTGCTCTTTGTTTTTTGTTTAGAGTGAAAATGCTCGCCTGGCACTTTGTGAGCATCCACAGTGGACACCTGTGGTTGTGATGTTGGGTTTGCTCCAGTGCAGTGTTCCTCCAGTGCTGAAAGCAGAACTTCTCCTCTGCCTGGCAGCTTTTGGGAAGTCTCCGGAAATAGCAGCTTCACTGTGGCAGTCTCTTGAATACACACAGGTATGTTTGTCCTTCATACTTTTTAAATAGTTTTTCCAGTGTTATCCTTCTAAATCTGAAAATGTTTGTCTTCTCTAAAGGTTCTTCAGACTGTGCGAGATCCTGGGCAAAGGCAAGCTGCTGGAATTGAGGTGACATTTCTAAATTTAATGTGCCTAAAATTTGTGTTTGTATTATTCTTTGTGGTTTTGCCTTTGATTAAATTATTTGATGTGCTTATTCTTAATTTCATAGGTCGAACTCAATGAAATTGAGTCAAGTTGTGAGGAGTATCCTCTCACACGAGCCTTCTGCCATTTGATCAGCACGCTCGTGGAAAGCAGCCTTCCTGTTAATTTGGGTGCTGGACTTCGGGTTCCAGGCTTTCAACCATATTTAAACTTTCTGCGTGACTGCGTGTTCTTGCCGTTTCCTACTAGAGCATATCGACGGCCTGGTGAGAAGGTAAAACACTTATTATTTAGATGAAAATAAATCATCTTCTATATAAACATTTAAAATGCATATGGCTTTCTCTCAGTGGGAGGTAGCAGATGCTGTACTGGAGGTGTTCCACAAACTGTTGCGTGACTACGAGCCTCAGCCCTCAGACTTCGTTCAGGAGATGGTGGAGCTCCAGGGCGAGCAGATCCCCACTCACAAACCTCCAGGTCACAGTATAATGTTCCACCTGCTGAACGACTCCCCCACACTGGCCCTGTGCCTTAGCCTGCTGGAGGAGGGGGTCAGGCAGCTCGACACCTATGCCATCTTCCCTGGTGAGATATATGGTGCTTGCATCATGGCATGGTTTAGTTTTATTTTAATATTGATGGTTCTTCTTTTACAGGGAAAAAACACCTGGAGTCTGCAGTGCTGCATTGTTTGTGTCTGCTGGACTTGGCTCTGCAGAAGGAGCTGGTGTTCATGGACCTCCTCAGGGAGAGTCAGTCCTCTTTGCTCATTTTTCCTTTGGAGCAGCTGCTGCAGGGGGTCAGCTCTCAGACCAAAAGAGCAGATCACATTGTTAATATTGCCAGGTACCTCTTTTGTAACATTTACAATTCAATATAAATTTAAGATTATAGTTTTAATCAAAGTTCTTCATTCTTGTTTTTTCAGGTATCTTTGCCACAGTCACTCTAATTCTGAAGCTGCTTTTCAAAGCTCAAAGATCCTGCGCCATATAGCCAAATATCCTAATATTCAAACAAGACTCGTGGGAGATTTCATACATGACCAGGTAAAAAAAAAAAGCCTTATTTTGACAATCTCAGTAGTTGGTGTAAATTAAATGCATTGGATTAATTTTAGGCTGTGAGCAGCAAGTTGATGGCTGGTTTTGTGGAATGCCTGGACAGTGAAGAAGCAGAAGAGGGAACAGAGAAGGAAGAAGGTAAAAATTTGTCAAACGTTGTATTTTAACAAAGATTTGGGAGCATTTTCATATTTCCGCTTTTATTTTTCAGAGTTGGATTCAGTAAGGAAGACTGCAAGAATCCGCCATAAAATCCAGATTCATATTCTCAACCTCCTCATCACGTCTTTGGAGCTAAAGACCCCAAACCTGGCCCTTTATCTTTTGGGTTACGAAGTGAAGAAGCCAGTGTCCTCCACCAACCTTCAAGACCCAGGTCAGCCCACAGGCTCTGCCCTGGGAGTTAATCAAGTATTATGATCCTACTCAATTGAATTAATAACTTTCCTGCATTCATAGGCGTATTGGGATGTCCGAGGAGTTGCTTACATTCTATATTGAGTTTGCTGCAGAGGGGCACTGAAAAGAGGTCAGGTCCCATACTTACTCAGCAAGCCCCACATTTGGCCGAGCTCTGTTATCAGGTACTGCAGTTTATATGGCACACATTTTGTATACTTTTATCTTTAAAGGTGCACTGTGTACATTTTCTGGTGGAGGGTCCATCATCTGTTTCTCTACATGGAGATATTGTCTGGAATGTTCCACAGTTTTGATTAATTTATTTTAGTCACAGGTATATTCTGACATTATTCCACTGACACTGACTGTCATATTTAACATACATTGACCGAAAAGGTGTAGGCTGAAGCTTGAGCTTATAATGCCTACATTTTATTCCTTTGTCATAGTGTCATCTCTACAGAGACGGCAAATGACACCATACTATATTACTTATTTATCTTACTTACTTATCTTACATGTCAGATCAATGGAGAGATGAGCCCTCTCATAGTAAGAATTCAAGATTTTAGGTAAATTACAACCCATGTTCTTGTGTAAATGCAAAATGGATATATATAAACCGTAAGATCTCCGTGGAGACAAACAGGTGGTGAACCCTCCACCAGAAAAGTTACATAGTACACCTTTTAATATAAATGTTTATAGTGTGTTAACGTAATCTGTGCTATAGGTGATCTACCAGCTTTGCGCATGCCCCGACACCTCTGGACCCACAATGCGCTATCTCAGGACCAGTCAAGACTTCCTCTTCTCACATTTGCAACACTTGCCTTTCATCCTGCCTAGTAAGTTATCAAAGGGCCCATATAAGTTTTTTTCCTCATCTCTTATAATGTTCTCATCAAAAACACACCCAGGGTTGTGTTTTGTTTTATTTACACTTTCCTACAAATTTAGTTCATCTCTCAAACTGAAAACACTCCATTCCACCTTGTGATATGATGTGCTAATACAGGAAGTTTCAGCCCTGGAAGCTTTAGTTTCCATTTAACTGAAGGTAAAAGGTAGCGGTTAACCTAAACTACAGTTTCATGACATCACAAGGTGGAACAGAACATTTTGAACTTTCGAGATGTAGACAGACTAATAAAGCATTACTCAAACATGTGTCAATGAAACTAAAAGACAACTCCAGGTATGTTTATGATAAGGCAACATCATTAGAAATTGGCTTAGAACTCTGTCAATTCTGTTCAATATAGGATCTTTAAATCATGGTGCTATACACAATTTAAGTCAAATAAGATTGATTCATGGAAAATTTAGAATCATAAGTTATAAAGCTGGTAAAATCCACATTTGAATTTAATTTTGATGTATTTTTGCCTTCTTTAACAGATAACCAGATTGCTGCACTCTCCCAGATGTCATGGCTAATAAAAACTGCAGCTATTGAACTGAGAGTGACGTCATTAAATCGCCAGCGGTCACATACACAACGTCTAGTCAACCTTCTGCTTGACGACCAGCCATACACTCAACACACAGGTTAGGATTCATTATACTTGTTTAAACAATTAAAATACGTAAACCTGACTTTAATTATGATGTCTTTAGCTGATGGGGAGTCTGGTATGGAGGAGGAGTCCAGATCTGTTAGTGGTTTCCTTCATTTTGACTCTGTCTCCAAAGGTTTGTTTTTAACATTTACAATTTGATGTGTTGTACAAGTTAGTAACCAAAATACTAACTGTTTTATCTCTCCAGTGCGTAGAAAGTTGCTCAGCGTGCTTGATGCCATTGATTTCAGTCAAGATATCCCTGAGCTCCTGCAGCTGGACTTCTTTGAGCGCACTCAAATAGAGCAGGTCATCTCCAATTGTGAGCAGGTCAATGAGCAAGGACACACTGTTTGCAATGTTAAGGTACAGTTTCATTTTCAGCTCACTTTATATTTTTTTTTGGTGAAGGGTTCGCCACCTGCTTCTCTCCATGTAGATGTTGCTTTCCACAATATGGCATTAAACTTGAAGCAGGTGTCATCAGTCAAATCTAGGGATAATTGCCTTTGCTCAAAGAATGCCTGTTTTTCAAGGTGTTTTACAGCATTGAAAACACCTGTATGTGAACAAATTCAAGTTTACTGGCATACTGTGGCACATTGCATTAAAAGAAATATGTCCAAGGAGACAAGCAGGTTGTGGGCCACCCACTAGAAAAGTTGCATAGTGCACCTTGAAGTACTGTTCTCTCACTTGATCATTTTGAAAATGTTTCTTACAGTTGTTGCATCGAGTGCTAGTTGCTGAAGTCAATGCTCTGCAGGGAATGGCTGCTATTGGACAAAGGCCTCTGCTGATGGAGGTTAGTTAACTACCAAACTCAAGCAAAACATCAGAGTAATTATTTCACTATATTTTCTAAAACCCATCCCTGCTTAACTTCCAGGAGGTGAACTCGATCCTGCAGCAGGTGGTGGAACGAAACCGAGTACGTCGGAGCCTAAATGCGAAAAGACATGCTCTTCAGTCCTGGAGGAGCCTGGTGGAGACGCTGCTCACTGCATGTCCATCTGACCTCATCCCAGCCGAGGACAGGCAGCTCATCATCAGAGACCTGCTCCTGGACCTGCACGATAAGGTTGGAACTTTTTAATACTTATGTAGCACAATATAGGGCTGGAGTTGACTAAAGAGCTCATAGGAAGCCAATGCATTACCCTCAAAAGTTGCTCCATGCCTTTGTGCTGTGGTACACATAAATATATATGTTGGTCGACTAATACACCATTGGCCATTCATCGAGTGTAATTTAACAAACACTGTGATTCTGTCTCAGGTCTTGTCTGAGGATGCTGCTGGAGAGCTCATGCCTATTGTGGCTGGTGCAGTCTTTACTCTGACCGCCCACCTCAGTCAGTCTGTTCTGTCAGAGCAGCAGAGCACCGGAGTGGAGTCGTCCTCTGGGTTTGCCTCCATTGCAAACTCCTCCCTCCACCTGATTCTTCGCAAACTGCTCGACTTTATTCTTTCTACTGGTCAGTTATATAAAATGTTTATTATATAATTTAAGTGAGAGTAATTATTTTAGCTGTTCAATTACAAGTAACTCTAAAACCATTTTAGGAGGTGGATACCAGCGACTACGTGCTCACCTCTATGGCTCCTTGTTGTATTACCTTCAAATCGCCCAGAAACCAGAAGAACCTGACACTTTGCAGTCTGGTAACAATCCAGCAGTGAAATTTAAGTCTCAGAAAATCATTGAATTGTCTGTTGATTATTATTTGCTTTTTATCTCTGCAGCAGGGAAGGCAATGTGGGAGCGTCTTACTTCCCCTGAGGACACCTTTTCCAAACTGCAGAAAGAAAACCTCTCCATCATTGAGAATTATGGAAAGTCACTCATGGAAGTGGTTTGTCGAGATGCATGTGATGGCCATGAAATTAGTAGGGTAAAGACCAAACTTTGAAACTTTGAATTTTGTATTCTCTGTCAAATTTTTTTAAAGGTATAAAAGAAACATAAATGGAGGTTACAGAAGATGTGTTCTCTCTTAGTTGCTTGCCTTGGCAGTGCTGGACAGACTTCTCTCTATCGACCGTCAAAACCAATGGCTCTTGTACATCTGCAACAGTGGGTATCTGCGCACCCTGGTGGAAAGTCTGAGGCAGGACGATGGTGCTTTACAGAGCCTGCTGACACCACAGCCCCCTCTCTTCAAACCGCTCTACATTTATGAAAGCAAAATGGTGAGGAGATCATTCTTTAGCGCTCCTCTGTGTTACTGCTGCTGTATAAACTGTATAAAGGTTCTGTGCCCTTCTAGGCCCTGCTCACTCGAGTGGCTAAGACGGGCCAGGGTGCGGTGGAGCTGTTGCGTTGTGGACTGGTGGCTCACCTCATTGAGTGCCAAGTATTTGACATGGTTCCAGACAGTGATGCACACAGGTATTGTATGTATTTTATATAAATGTAGGTTTCCATGCTTTTAGCTGCAGTATACATGTTTTCGCTCACATTCTATGATAATCATGTCTCTGTTCATGTGAACAGAGTAATGAGGGACCCATCAGGCTTCATCCCTAGTCCTATGGACCGCTACAGACAGATTCTTTTGCCTGCGTTAAGACTTTTTCAGATCATTTTGACTTCTACCACGATGAATCACCAGCAGGGGGCAGCACAGGCAAGTATTCTTTGTAAAATATAGTGTTTGGTTTAGAATTATTGTGTTTTAAAGTTTTTTTCTTTGTATTCCAGATTCTTCAGTGGTTAATTATACACTCAGACACAATTCAGTCTCTGCTGCGCTGTCAGGAGCTCAGTATGGGAGCGTTACAACAGCTCTCTCTGCTCACTGGCATCATCAGTAAGACTGCTTTGCCAGGTACAGACCCTTCTTCACACTGTACTGTTCCTCACATGGGCTCTTTTGTTTTCCGTCATATTACTTTCTCTCATTTACTTATGAATTGATATCTCAGGTGTTCTTGAAATGGGTGAAGTCAACAGTGCAGTGCTTACGGAGTTTCAAGGTCACATCACTAGATTCCAGGTATTGTTATTTACCACTTTTTATGCTGTTGCCCTGTGTTGCATTGTATAATTCAATTTATGTTTTTGTGTGTATTTTTGTAGCGTCTGTGCCTGTCTTTGCTCAGTCGCCTCGCAGGAAGTGAACGAGAGAGATTGCTGAAGCAGGCAGAGGTCACCGCACCTGGTGAAACAGCTGAACAAAGGGAGGAGATGGAGGTGGCCATGCAACAGGTCAGGTCAATGTTCAACAAAGCACTCCCAGTTAAACTAAACTAAAGTATTATCTTGGGTGGGAACAACAAAGTTCCTCTGTTTGAGACGGTCAACAAAGTTTGTCTCTGCAGGTTTGTGCCAACATTATGGAGTACTGCCAGACCCTGCTGCTCCAGAGCTCTTCCCAGGCCCAGTTCAGTATCTGCCTCTTCAGTCCGTCTGGCAGTGAGCCAGCTGGCCGAGATGGAGGCCGACCAGGTCAGTGGAATTATTTCAAATCTTAACTGGATTCAGACTATTTCCTTTTATCGAAAAACAAAACAAAAACATCTGACACAAATGTTTTCTTTCTAGACCTCTCATCCTCCATGCCTCCGATGTTATACTCACGAGCCCCCAGCCTGGGCCTGGTGCTGTTCCTGCTGAAAAACACTGCTGCAGACTTCTTCCGCTTCCACCAGAGCCACAGACAGAGTCTGAGCAAACTTCAGAGCCTAGACCAGCTACCCCCCGAGGAGCTGAAGGAGGTACTGAGACATGAGCATGTATCTGAAATCTTTACATTCAAAGTAACATTATGTGCTCTAATGAACTAGAAATGTAACCACCCGTCTATGTGTTCAGTTGTGCCAAGGCCTTGTGGCTGGTCCAGGAGCAGTTGAAAAAACTTCTTCAATTCAAAGAAGCCTGCTGGCAAAGAAACGTCTGGTCCAACTCATTAACAACAGAGCCAAGCTCCTAGCACTCTGCTCATGTATCCTTTCTATTGATAAGAAAATAATAATCTGAATTTCTTTACGTACAAAGATGTTGCATTATTTTTACTAACATACACAATATTAAATGAGCTTTGACTGACTGGCCAGATATTATTGAAACATGTTTATTTGTACTGTGGCGCCACCTGGAGTACTACTTGTTACATTGTACTCCCACTGACCCTAAAGACTCCCTGATGGTTGGGGCCAGTTCATACAGATCACGTCTCGGAGATGGTAAGAAAGTCTGTTAATTGCAGTCATTGCACTCATATATTATTGTATTAAGAAACTACATTACCCTTCCTTCCATAGATTTATTTAGTGGGCTTCAATCGAGTGGAAGTCGGGGTCTTTCTCGAGTAAGCCAGTCAGATCTAGACCTGGTAAGTTTGTACTGATACAGTCTCCATATTGTTAGCTGTGCCACCCCTGACCCTGGTTCCGACCCTGGTTCTGTCCTTGCAGCTGAAGGGGGACATGGCGGCTGGGTTTGGGGAGGCGCTGCAGAGGAGACTGCTGGAGGTGGAGGGCCTTTACAGTCAGGTCCGCTCACGCTACACTTTCATCCAGGCACTGGTCCGCAGGATCCGTGGCCTCGTCCGACAGACCAAGAGCTGAGATCAATGGACTGACTCATGTTCATAACTCTGGGACAGCAAAGCTCTTCTTACCGACTGCTTTTCTTAAGTCTGAGTAACATTAATACCTGTGTAATAATGCCAATCTTGAATTATTTTGGGCAAATGTTGAAATGTAGCCTACATTTAAAACTGTATGAAATTTTTACATAAAACATATTTGATATCCTTGATTTTCTCTGTTCGTGGACTAATAAATGTTTTCTAAATTTGTTTAAAATCCCTGTTTTGAAAATGGATGACTGGAAAACCTTTAAAATCACAATATTCAACTTCACCACAACATTGAATTCTGCACACGCTAAAATTATATCTCCACAGACTATGTTGTTTAGTTTTATTTTGATGAAAAATACACCAGGACTGCAAAGTGCAAATATTTTCATTCCTTTGGGCGGTTGAGTTTAATTTGTAAAAACAGATTTACATTCAGATTCTTTTTAACCAGAAACATCTTTGTGCTGTTTATTAGAATACTGAGGATGGAGAGCACCAGCATTGCATTACAAGGGTTTATGTTAAAAAAAAAAAGGGGGGGAAAAGTATAGGCACATATCCCTTCTCTCAAATAACATCAGAGTGCTGAGACAAAAAAAGCCTACCACGTGTAGTAGCTGACAATAGGAAAACGTGTGCTATGTCAGATCATGCTCCTCTATAAATTACTATAAATAATACAATTAATTACAGCCGTTCAACACATTACAATTTATGCACCAGCTCACAAAGAACAGCTGTGATTGTGCCATTTCTATTTACAAGAGAAAAACACCTCCCACTATCAGACCATCAAGCTTCCATAAAGGACATTACTTTGAGTTCATTGTTACGTTGTACATCTTGAGTTAAATCATGATTGTAAAAGTTTGATTAGTTTGTCAAAATAACCATCACTTAACCACAAATGAATCCTCCATTGGACTTATATGCATTAAAATGTGCATTATTGTACACGGTAAAATAACTTAAAGTTTATATTACTTACATTTTTTCTAGTGGAAGGTCCGCTACTTACTTCTCTCCGTGGAGATGTTATTGCTTTGTCTAGAATGTTCCATGGTATGGCATTAAACATGTACAGCGTGTAGCGTGTATTCATGACGGGTGTTTCTATTATTTTTGTGAAGATGGGCGACTCTCCACAGATCTGCATTGTAATGTAGCGTAGTGCTGTGACCTGCCTATAGGTTTAAAATATACTGTGGAACATTCTTGACAAAACAATAACATTTCCATAGAGACAAGCAGGTGGCGGAAATGTTACGCAGTGCACCTTTAAACCATATCACTAAATGTAAATATCTTGGAAGGCTCAGTTGGGATAACAGCGATGCTTCTGCAGAACAGGTACAGATACAGGTCCAACGTGCTTTTGTTTCATTACAAAACGAATAGAGGAGACAATAAAATCCAGATATCACAGGCAAATGACGAAGGAATACTGTGTAGTTTCATTCTGTGTGTTATTATTTAAAAAAAAAAAATGCTTAAGAACTCCTTATATACATGCCATATTGTACAGGGCTGAAATCCAGCGCATAGTTCTGATCCCATATAAGTCTTTTAGTCCAGGGTTAAATTAAAAGTTTTTACAAAAGATAACAGCCAGATGTTCCTCTTCACTCTAGTGTTGATTGTACCAGACGTGTCCTCTACAAATCCAGCAGTGAGTGTATCTTAAAGTTAGTAGATAAAAGCAGCTTATCCTTATTTAAGTTCGTAATCAATCATTTTTAGCTTCTGTGTTTTCTGTATTCACTTCCTGTGTCGTGTTGTTGTTGTCTGTAATGTTGCTACTGCCATTTTGCTGTGGGCGTGACGGTTTCTCTCCGGTCACTGCCACTCGGATAACTTTGAGCCAGCGTTGTTTGATGTCCTCAGTGTCAGCAGCAAAGTTGTGTACAGATATGGACTGCGTCATGCGAAAACTGGACGGGGGGTCGGACTGGCGAGGGCTGTCATCCACTGTGTAACCCACCAGAGGGATGGAGCACTGAGCCTTCACATCCTGCACAAAAAGTAATGTCAGTCCAGCCCAGCCTGGCTACCAATCTCTTCTGAACTAAAGGTAAACAGTAGCTGTTAACTCAAAAACTACCACTTCTGTTGCATCTTCTTCACAAGGTTCAACAGAGCATTTTGAGATTTGAAAATGTAGATAAAATATGTTGGTTATTTATTTATTTTTTTTTTGCAGGAAGCTTCTTGATATTAAAAAGTTAAATTGAATAAGATGTACATTGTTTAAAGGATTATTCTTTTACCTGTGGAGCTCCGTAGAGGTAGAGCACAAAACATTCCTTCTCTGGGATGACACACCAGACCCTCTGCCATGGTTTGTTGGTCTTTTCACAGTACTGAAGGAAACCACACATGATGCTGCTGCCTGAAAACTGAGCGGCTTCAATCTGCAGAGAGAGAAATAAAGTTTATATCACATCATAGTTGCCAACTTTACATTTTATGAGTTATACATATATCAGTGTGCCCCTTACCTCCAGAATGCCCTTCTTTTTGTTTTCCTCGGATACTGTCACTCCTTTGAGGATTCGATAACAGTCATGGCAAACCTTGTTCATCTTGTTCCCATCATATTCAAGCGGCACTTTGTTATCGGAGCATTTCCAGCACACCACCTTTAACAGACACATAAACCTGCTTAATTTTGCTTTTTTTATGCTTTGCAGCTGCTCTCATCAAGATTCCCTGGAGATGTGATGCTAACTACAAACTCTGCATCTGATCATTGTTTTAACAGTCTGACCAGAAAGAGCTGACTTAGATGTAACTACAACAGAGGTGATTTGTGCCGTTAAACAAGTGTCACACATAAAATTACAGTCACAGTTAGTCACTTTCATGTTTTTTGTTGAAAATCAAACACCTAAATAAAACTATGAATGCTCGTATTGATCAAACTCCTGAAAATGTGCTGTTTAAATCCTTTTTTTTGTTGTTCAAACAATCTTAACAGTTTTTGGTAGTTATCGCTATTATACGATAGTGGTACATATAGGGTGACCAGATGTCCCTTTTTACCCGAGAGAGTCCCAGTTTTGAGCCCTGTGTCCCCTGTCCCACCAGATTTCTTCAAAACCACTGATATGTCCCAGTTTTATACAAGAAATGTCTCAGTTGTCCCTATTTTTGTCCAACTTGTTAGCCACCAACAGTAAAGAGGCCAATATATTGTCCTTTTTTAGCTAAAATACAGACAAACAAAGGCAAAAACAAAAAAGCAATGACAGAAGTCCCTCAGATTAAATACGTACTGACATATGAGTGGAGAAAGGACAATGCTCTCTTATCACAATTTTATTATTACCGATACCAACCATCCCAACCCAGGTGTGTCCCAGTTTTTAATTTTGCATATCTGGTCACCCCAACAGACACACTACTGCTGTACTGTTTGTATTCTGTATTAGACAGTGAGATCCAGCTGACTTACAAATCCACAGGCTCTGCAGTGGTGTCGGCGCCGCGTCAGAGCGTTGAACTGCTCTTTACATTTCATACACATGGTCACATCATTGTCCCGGATCCAGCGAGGAGCACGCTTCCCCAGTTCATCTTTCTGCAAAAGCAAACAAACTCAATACAACATTAACATTAACAATGAAACATTTTTGCACATATAATATTATTTACCATCAATTATATGGATTTATTGTTCAGTACAAGAAAGCTGGAACAAACTATTTTGGGACTTTATATTTATCATGTGGGGAGATCTGGGGTATTTTTGTTGTAATACAATTATATTTAAGCTGTAAAATGTCAATGTCAGTGATTGACTTCTATGGCTAATTATTGACCAATAATAGTACTTTCTGTTATTTATTTGTCACAGCTCATGCTTTTTAATGATACCATGTTTTAAAAATGATTTAGCGGGATTATCTTGCATTATTGGTATTGTATCAGTGGCATAAAGTTGTTTCAGTATTATTGTTTATCGCAGTAGATCTCTGTAGTAAAATATTGTGCTTTAAAATGTGTTACTGTGATAGGCCTATGTTAATATTTATATTTTGAAGCTGACTGCAAGTTATATTATTATATAGTCCACTAGAATAGATTATGTGTTTCTATTAATAACATCTGATACTGAACTATTAAAAATAAAACCACTTTCATGAGTTATCAAACAGAACCACAGTGAAGAGGGCTGAAGAGACTTACAGAAACATCATCCACTTCTCTTGAGGCATTTTTAAACGTCTCATTCTTTTGCTGGAAGATGTCAATGGTTTCCCGAAGAGCCTGTAAACAATATGAATATGTGTGACTGTGTACAATCTCAAAAAAACAATACAGTATGAAAAAAAACAAAAAAAAAAAAAACAAAAAAAACCCCAGAAAATTTAAATACCTTAATCCAGCTGGCCTTGTCCTGCTCTGAGCTGTGAGAAAAAAACAGAAAAAAATTGTTTCAGATTCTTGCCATCCCATGAGGTGTTTTTTAGTTTATTTTGGAAGTCTGGGTGTGCTCATTTGGGTGGTGTTCTTAAATTATACTGTACAACTAACGATTACATGTAATTACTATCATTGACTGTAAAAGTGCTGAAAAGTGTTTCAGGAAGAAAAAAGTGTGAAGTCAAATTGTTGAATGTGTTTGTTACAGAGCTTTGTCCTATTTTTATATAAACATTTGACTAAATGCACAGCCCTGGTATCATTCATACAGAACTGAAATAATATACAGTAAGTAGAATACCTTGAGTTTAGTTATTGTTGTTTTAATACATACCTGGCCTGTAGCTCCAGCGCCCTCTCTTTGCCCAGCACTTGAAAAGTATGTGGATATTCATCATTGATGGTTTCAGTGACCTGCATGCCATCGATGCCAATCCGAGTCCTCACTGTGTACTTAGGCCCTCCCAGGCTGAACTTAGGCACACAGTACAGCAGCATGTTGTTGAACTACAAAATCAGAGAACATATTTTTTGTCTTGATAAAAATAACAATCTTTATTTGAATGGACAATGCACAGAGACGTTAAGATCATAAAAAGAGAGCTGTTCCGCACCAGATTATAGCTAATTTCCAACTAGTTTTCACCTGCAGTCCCTGATTTACAGAAATAAATTATGCACAGTGTTACAGTCAGTCAACAATAAGAACGACTCACACTGTCTACTCTCTGACCCCATGTACAATACAACCACACACCTCTAAGCAACAGGTATTTACAAAATCATAAATTTCATCTTATAAAATACATATTAACCTACCTGCCCACTATTCACTATTATTACCTACTTTTATTACACTATTATTACCTCTTGTTTGGATTATTGTAACTCACTTTCCAGTGGAGTCAGTAAAACCTCAGTCTCACGCCTACAGCTAGAGCACCTTTTAACTGGATCACGTAATTCCCCCGGTCTTCAGTCTCTCCACTGGCTCCCTGTGCACTTTCACATTGATTTAAATTTTTTTATTGGCTTTAAAATGCATCTATGGCCCCTCAGCATCTATCTGACCTGATGTACCTCACACCTCATCTCGTGCTCTCAGGTCTGCAGATGAGGCTCTCCTCTGTGTCCCAAAGATCAAGAGAAAACAGAGAGGGGATCAGGCATTTGGCTGCTCCGAGGCTGTCGAATCGACTCCCTTTGCGTATCAGGCTGACTGACTCACTGCCTGTTTTTAAGTCCCTCCTAAAAACTCACTTTTTTCCCTTGGCTTTTAACACAGTTTGAGGGTTGATTTTTTACCTGCATTTGTATTGTATTATATTTTACCTGTACCTGTCACTGTATTTGTCACTGTTTCTTATCTGTTTGTGTATGGCACTTTGGTCTTCTGTGTTGTTTTTAAAGTGCTCTAAAAATAAAGTTGAGCTGAGTATTATATCAGTCCATAGTAACACAAGAATTCAACCAAACTAAACAAAGGCAGGTCTAATACATAACAGGAACCAGATAAAACCAGGATCTAAAACAACAAAAGTGGCAGTTCAGGTCAAAACAAGGTCAAAGCTCAAAGATAACCAGAATAATCCAGAATTTAACTGGGATAAAAAGACCGTGATGACATTTATACCCTTTTACCAGACATTTTCCAGGCATAATCTTTAATAAAACTGGTCAAATCACTTTAAACGAAGACTAAAAACCGTACAAACTGAGGTCTAAACAAGAACTAAACCAATCCCAACTCCAGCAAAATGCATAGACACTAAAGAAATATACATGTACAAATTGTGAAAACTGCACCACAGTTTCAAAGTCCTTGTTTCAGATCCTGGCGTTCTTCCGACTACACAACATGAGGTAGTGAAAATGTGGCTAATGGGAGATCTTTAAAGGAAACTAATTAGCAGAAAGCTCAACTTAATTTCATAATCTCTACATATGCGTAATAAATTCTTGTGTTCCAACCCCCCGCTTGTACCATAACGCCGCATCATGCTGTGTCTTTCCTCTGTATATATTTCCCTATAGTGTTTTTCATTGCCGTACTCACCAGGAAAAGGTAGCGCTCCATGGCTGACGTGTTCCTGGCCGCAAGCTTCAGTATGTGGCCCTCTTTGATAAACTCATTTGAGGGGTTTACGATGTCCTCCTCCTCGCCCAGCATCTCGTAAATCTCCATCAGCTTCTTTAGATTTTCCTAAATGAACAGTTTTATGTTTGATTCCAGGGAAGTGTGTGAGAAAATCTGTGGTACCAAGGAAAACATAGAGCTGCACTTACAGACTTGCGGATAGCGCTGTTTGAATGAGTTGCGGCCGTAGCGATGATTTCCAGTGATTCTGAAAACATAGACTGGGTTAGCATTTATAGAACCAAAATTAAAAGTGCTGTGTAACATTTCTGTAAAATGCTTTTTTCCGTGGAGATATCATTGCTCTGCCCAAAATGTTCCACAGTATGACATTAAACAGCTCTATTTTACTTTTTTTTTTTTAAATTTCAGGTGGTTTTATAGCTCAAAAATACCATTCTGACTGTGAGCTAGAAAGGTGTAATACCATACTGTGAAATTCCAGACGAAGCAAAAACATCTCCAAGAAGAACAGCATTTGAACAGCATCCGTCCATTAGAAAAGTTACACAATACACCTTTAAATAAATCAAATGGTAACACTTTAACTTAATAATAAGGGTAAATGGTTTAAGAAAAATATCTGAAAATAACTGAAAAACAATATTTCAGAATATATTTGTACAGCAGATCTAAACTACAGGGTTAGCAGTTTATGTCAGTCAAAAGTTTGGACACACCATCTCAATCATTGTTTTTTTCTTCATGTTTACTACCTTCAACATTTTAGATACACATAGAAAACATCAAATAAATGAAGCAAGATAAATGGAATTATGTAGTAAATAAAAAATAAAAAATAGCTAAACATTTTTTGACAATGCAAAGGCTGGCTACTTCCTTTTTGCCACACAATTCCACATATTTCTTACTTCATATATTTGATGTCTTCTCTATGCATATCGAATGTAAAAATAGTTAAAATACTTAAAATATAGTTAAAAACTGTGTCCACACTTCTGACTGGTAGTGTAAATATGTGGAGGAAATTATGATACTTCATCATTTGAATGAACACAATTGGCAAATTAGCTACAAGTTACATTATTATTTTTTATTATGTACTGATTGATGCTTTTTCAGACATATCAAACTCAGGCCCGGGGGCCAGATTTCGCCTGTGATATAATTATATTTGGGCCGCGAGATCATATCAAATATGTATTAGAGCTGGCCCTGTCAGCTACAAATAGGCTATAGAGACAGTATTTTTTTATTTTGGTTTCAAAGCAAAACTATTATTAAACATTTATTTTAATAAGAAATGGTTTACCATTACATATCTCGAAAGAAGAGAAAACATGCAGATGTTGCTGAAATTTTTCAGTAAATATATAGTTTGGCTTTGACTTGGTCCCAGTTTTTAATTTTGGCCTCTGTGAATTTGAGTTTGACACCACTGCTCTAAGGCAATAATAATAAGGCATGTACTCAACCATAACATTTTTGTCCCATTACAACTATTCATAAGTGATGTTGGGAATAGATGCTGTTCTACACACAGTATACTCTTAAGCATTAATAAGTGTGTTAAATACTAACTGACTAACTAACTAACCCCTAACTAACATACCAATTACTTACTAATATATGTGGTCCTAAACTTAAAGTTTAAACAATCAAACAGTTCAGTTAAAATGGCCCTTACTTTCTGCGTCTCGCCTGTCTGGGTCGTCTGGGGGTAACTTCTTCAGATAATCTTTGAGCAGCATCTCGTATCGAGGGATTCTCTGCACCGGCTCCAACATGTGATGCTGCAGGGTCAGGCTCCCACACACTTCCTGACTCTGAACACAGGCACACAAACAAAAGGTCATTATGATCTGAGACTTGACAGTAAACTTGCATTGAATAGAGACAACATTGTATCTTTTATTTTATCTGTATGGAGTTTAAAAATGCAGGGACTTTGCAGGGTTTGTGAGTTAAACATGTGTGAGTGAAACAAAACATAACTCCAGGTCTGTTTGTGATGAGGAGACAACATTATAACACAGATCAAATCAACCAGAAGACTAAACATGGAAAAAGTCAAATATTTGGACACCTATTCCCATTTATAGACCATAATGAGATTTTTTTTATGGAAAGGTGTATTCATACTTTTGCCACTTTAGTGTCTGTTTCTTTAAACTCTTCCAGTGGAACAGATAATATTTAGTCTAGCACAGTTGATCCATGATGTTTGTACCTGGATTTCCGTAATTATAGCTTTAAACTGAGGTGAACGGTCATTCCATTGTTTAAGCAAATCCATGGCCTTCTCAAAATTCTTCACATATTCGGCGTACATTTTGAGGAAGGGTGTGAGTTTCTGAAGGATGTCCCCTATTCTCGGCTTGGAGTCCCTGGTGCGAGAAACACAATGCATATTAATACATTTTCAAACTCAAATGTATCCCTGTAACTAGCTGAGAAGAAGAGGATGAACTGTTAATGCAAAATCGACTTTTAAGAGCTTGACTTGCGGATTTGTTTCTTTTATTACGTTGTTTTAGATCAATATTGCAATCATGGTCCATATAGAGAAAAGACTAAGTGAGCATTTGGCTCCACTCAAGCGGGAACTGGGACAAAAAAAGCAGTGAAATAAAAACCCCAGGATCATATAGAGCTCGTTAATACAACAATTTTAAGACCAAAATGACGAGGCTCATAGCAGCAGCTACAGAAAGAGGGTGACAATATTTTGATAATGTAAGTCAGTGGGAAGCAGGGTCAGAAAGAGCTGGAAATGCCCACATCTGAACTTCCTATTTGAAACGCAGTGTCCATTTATACACACAGTCTACCCACAGCTTTCATCTCGACTCAAATGAAGCTCAGTGAGGCCAACAGTTATAGGTGTGAATTTGGAGACGGGTTTCATGTTTGGTTCTGACCACAAGTCAACCTCGGCAAAAGAAGGCGCTTGGTTTGTCTTGTCTTTGTTATTAATGTTCATATCTTGATTTATGGAAAAAAAAAAAGCTAAATAAAAACATCACGATCATGTAGATTTGGTTAATATGAACATTTTAAGACCAAAATGACGAGGTGTGACAATAACAGAGAGAGTTGTGACAATTCTTTAGTGTAAAGTGAACTGGAGCAGGAGTCGATGAAACCGGAAACACCCTCGTGATCACTTCCTATTGCAACGAAGCGGCTAGTACGTTAACTATGTCCATTTATATATACAGTCTATGATTGTGATTTCAAATGTCCAAAATATAACATAATGAAACGTGTCATAGATCATTGTTATGTATAGCAGCAGTCAAATATATATATATAGATATGTGAGATTTTTTTTGTGTTGTTGCTGCTGAATTCTATCTACCACTATCTCTACTTATCTACATAATATATCTGTCATTCTTTCTTACTTCTTTTTTTTCTTTCATTCTTTCTATCTCTCTCTATATCAGGTGCAGGGACTCTCCATTACTCACCATTCTCCCATTCTTTTCTCTAAATCTGGAAGCAGGAACTGACTGTGGAAAGCGTGGATAGAGGTGATGTTGGAAAAGATGTTTTTCACCACGTCGACAGGAAACGTCCCTTTGTTTGCCTCCTCCATGAGTTTGGCACAGAACACCTGGAGCAGACAGAAGGGTCGTTACTTCCTGTAAAACTGTTAAATGATAAACTGAATTGATTTGATCCGGGCAGTCGTTCTGACCTGGTCCAGCAAGTGCAAACGTGCCACGTACGCCTTCTCTGTTTGAAGGAGCTCACTGGCAATTTTAAACAACTTTTGCTCGTTGGTCTCCTGTAAAATACATCACATTTATAGTTCAGTGTCTTTAAATGTATTTAAAATAATTACATACTTATGTAATTGTAACACAAATATTAAAACCTAAGATGTTAAAGTTCAAATAAACAGCATAAAACAGTAAAAAAAAACAAAAACACAAATTTTGTCAAAATACATTTTCTAAAACCACTGCAGAAGGTATGGGACTACTTTCATGCTTTCATACTTCATAGAATTCTACAACAATTCCCCCGTTAGGTAATAGATAACCCTATTTTACCAAGATATATTTTGTATTACTATATTTAGATTTTGTTTATTTTACTTGTGCATTTATATTTGTATAATTATGCCTTATTTGACACCAGTCTCTTGCCATTTTTGCTACTTATGTTTTATTTACCATTTATATTTTTTTACCTTTGTTATTATAATATATTATGATGTGTGAGATATTGTGTGTAGATGTCTAAATCTAAAGTCTACTTGCAGCTGGATAATAATTTGCACTATTTGGTTTAAATTATGGATTCAATTTTACAGTTTCACTCATAATCTAGTGTATTGTGCAACATTTTGCACTAGAATAACTAACCATCTCAGACATGCAAATCAAATATTTTAGCGTACCACAGTGCAGATTACTTTTTAACATATTACTTGTAGAATGGGAAGCAAACATTCCTCACAATAACAGCCTTATCACTAATGCATAACTAATAAAATGTAACTTTAAACTTTTCGTATTGATTAATTCAGGCCGAAGCACACAGAGCCTTAACATCTTTTGTTTGCACCATGGTGTGAATTCTCAAGGCACGTAGCACTTGAGTATGTGCAATTTACACCAGCCTGTTTGAAGGCTGACCTCTCACAACAGGAAATGAAAATAGGGAAGAAGTGGAACAAGACCAAATCGAACAATACGGTAACACACTGTAAAAACCAAACCATTGTATAAAAGTACAGTGTAAAACGTGTAACTGTGTCAGGTGTAACTCAAGACAATGCATGAGACCAAATCACACTCACGTTTTTAACTCTCTGTTCTCATGTAAGTTTGTGGACAGCATGACAACACAAGGTAAACTAATATTAATCTTACCATTAAACCATGCTGTTACTAGGCCTGCCATGGTCCTTTGAAGTGAGATAAATTGTAAATATAGATGATAAACCATAATATAGAAATCAAAAAGCAGAAGTATCAGAAGTATAAAAAAAATACAATATTGTTAAAAAAACAACAACACACAAGCTGCACTAAATAGATAGCATAATAATAACACTTAAGTTGTTTGTGTCTATGTTTCTACAGTTCAAATCTCATTGTATCATCTGAAGCAGAGGAAAAGCAACAAGTTCAGGGTTGTAGTGTCTTGTATTGCTCAGAAAAGTGTTTTTGCTGTTTTTTGATAACCTACAGCACTTTATAATATGGACCTGATGTTTTATTTTATTTGTATTTTCTAATTATTTAGAGTTTGTCAAAAGAACACAGCAGAATGTAAATAGTTGCATCTGTTAAAGTTCATTAAAAATAAATGACTATATAAAGTTTTTTTTTTTGTTTTTTATTATATATCTGCCTTTTGATCTGCCATAATAATGTAATAATGAATTCAAATGAAAATACCTCAAGTTGAGGGCTTTTCTCAGCAATTTTAGGTGAGATTAAAAAAGAGATTAATTAGATCGATTCATTACAGATCATAATTAATTAATCTCTCAATTTTTTAAATCTCTTGACAGCACTAACCAAAATAATGACAAAAAAAATATCAGTGTACTACAGTGATTATTTAAATGTGCCCTATGTATCTATCTAACTTCATGGGGACAAGGACAAGTTACAGGTCAGGTCTGTGGAAAGGGGAACCCATTTAGTAAGACAGCATGTTTTTGCAATTGTAATTGAGAAAAAAAATATCTACAACAAAATGGATAAGTTCAATGCTATACTGTAACATGCTATACCATGACAAGTCCTTACCAAAAAAGTTACACAGTGTATTATTTTAAGGAAACAAATTAATCATAAAGACAGATTATTCAGATAACTACATTATGCAAGAGCTTATCACAAATCATAATCTTTGTCAACAGAGGTAAAAATAGCTGCAAATATTTTTAACTTAGCATTTTAACACGAGACTGGCATGTTTGCGTGCTTTTTGCTGCAATTTCACTGTTAAAATATTTGTAGTGTTTCTTACCGACTTCACAGATAATACATTGTTATCAGTGGTGGGTTTATTTATATTTACTACTGGTATTTATTTTGTGACACAGAAGAGGATCCCTGAACTCAGCTGCTCCAGTGTGTGACATGTGTTGAGTCTTTAGAGGAAAATAGCCCCTTTGGGACAAATGACGGACAGACACATTGTACTATTGTAACTCTATACTGAGGACACACACAGAGCCACAGCTGAGGACAATAGAGTTAACATGGGACTACATCAACTGATTCTTGAGGACGGGAGAGAAACTAGAAGCAGTAAGGGTGTAAGGGCCATTTTGGGGCAAGTTTGGTCCAGTCTTATAGTGGTTCCGATTCCAAACCTAGTTCAAAAACTCTTTATTAAAGCGCCCATTTTGTGCTATTTTCTGATCTAGGTTATAATGTCATTTCCTCAAAAACATACCTGGAGCTGAGTTTTGTTTCATTCACATGCTAAACACACAAACCCTGCATATTTAGGCTGATTTCATCTCACACACTGTTCCACCTGTTCTGAAGTCATGTGAAAATACAGGAAGTGATCCACTATGTTTTTAAACTCCACACACCATCACTAGAATCATTTGGTTGCTTTCAGGAATTACCCATCTCTACTGAACTAAAGGTAAATAGAGCTGTAAACTTGAAAACTACCATTACATAACAACACAAGGTGGAACAGAGTATTCTGAGCTTTGGTAGAGGTAGATGTAGACAGACTAGTAATAAAGAGCTACTCAAGCATGTGTGAGAGAAATAAAACACAACTCTAGGTATGTTTTTCATGAGGTAACAGCATTATAACATGTCTTAAAGCTCACAAGTATCAATTTTGTGTAATGCAGGACCAACAATATCGGATCAACATAAACCTAACATGCTGTATCTTACTAAAACCCTTAGAAAACTAGAAGAGAATCCCATTCAGCTCTGCTACATCTAAGCTGTAATAGCATATGATTAAAAGCAGAACAAACATAGTCATAGCTGTAGTCAAGTTATTATCTCATGGAACAATAAAAACAAGTCTCTCACCTTTAGAAAACTTTACACAATGCTGTAGTATAAACAGTACAGCCTACTTCCTACTCACACTCACGAGTGCCCATTGCCAAGTGCCCATTGCCAGTTAAGAGATATAGCTTTAAGGATGTTTTTATTTTATTCAATTTGCACATCTTAACTTGTCTTCCTTCTCTTCAGACCACAGCATTTAAGTTTTAAATGAGCTGTGACATGCAGATAATAAGACAGCATACTAACCAAGGCTAAATTTATCTTGAGAACAATGAAGGCAGACATGTTGTGTACATACCTTAGGCTGTGTGCTGACTTCTTCAAGCTTGGGCTCACTTTTGTCTTCATTGTCACACGTATCAGTCCTTTTTAACAGAGATGGTGAGTGGTCCTCGGTCTGCTCCTCGCTGCCCATCTCCCCATTCACCATCCCCTTTTTCTCAGTCCTCACCGTCTCGCACTCAGTGTCCGTTTTACTGTCTGTATCCACTGAATCCATGTGAGCTACGACCCCATTGGCTGCTGGTTTGGGGGCATCCTGTGGCTTCCTCTCCCCTTCCGAAAGCTTGGTTTTGTCAACGTCTGCGCTGGTCTGTTTTTGCTGTAGTCCACGGAGAGCAATATTAGACGACTTGAGCTGCTTAGACTTGTTCTCGGCGATGCTGCGTAAAAAAAAAAGAGGAAGTCCGTTAGAAAATTGAAAGCTGGTAAAATAAGAAGGAAGAAGTTAGCAGCAGTTGTTGTGCAGGTCTGGTCACATTTGTACGAGCTGTATGCAGAGAATGTTGGCATGTGAGCGTAAGAGTTAAAAATAAAACGTGCTGCTGTGATGATGGGAACCAATGAGGAGATGGGAAGGAAGACGAGTGGTCCCTTGAGACAGATACTGTCCTAGTTTAACATGTATGTAGATGTAGATGTGTTAGAATATGTAACGTGATGGCTTGAATTGACAGGAGGAAACATTAACCCGAGGGAATTTTAACATAATTTATTAATAAGAGCAGACTATTTGGATAGAGACCAAGAAAGTGTTCTCAAGAGAGTTATATTAAAACAAAACAAAAAAAATCCAATCAAACTAATGCATGCAAAATACACTAGTATATAAAAAAGTAGTATTTACAGCCAACACTTTACAATAACTACACTTTAATTAGCCTTAATAAAACTCAGTGACTTAATTTATAATGGGAAATTAGTTAATTAAGAACACTTACTAACTACTTAATCAATATCATAATCATAACTCCTAACCCTAACTGATCAATATGGATAAGTCTGTTCATGGTTTATTAAGCTCTAGCTATTATAAAGTGTTAACAATTCATGAGGCATATCTTTAAAATGAAGACTTAGTTTCTTAGTAACACAGCAGCTACGTTTTTTGTCACATTTAAACCTGTAGACATTGTCCAGTAGGAACAGGAAGTGCGTATAAATAGGGGAACAGCAGACTGGTGAAACCCTCAAGATGACTCATTTCTGGACTGTGACACCGGTATTCTTACCTTTACCACAAAAACAAACAGGTGCAGTAGAGTGAATTTTATTGTTAGTTAGCTGGTATACAAATATGCTGTGCAGGAACCCTCTCTAAAGTAAAAATACTTGCTTGACGACAATGATAGCGTCTCTTTAAGACAACTCAGGACCATGTGAAACAGATTAGTGTATTAGGCTAATGCTGTTTTCAAATGCTGCAACCTAACCTGTAGTTCTGTCACAATAACACAATAACACATTTTGAAGTGTCATATCTTGTAAATATAGATGATAAACGATAATACTGAAACTCAATTATGTAACAAAAAGTATTCTTAATTTACAATATTGTTAAAAATAAAAATAAAAATACAAGCTGCAGTAAATAAACAGCAGATAAAACATTTAAGTGCATCTGTAATGAGTCCTAGAAGTTATAACTTCAACCATTTACAGCTTAAATCTTATTGTATATAGCTGAAAAAACTACAAAAAAGTTTCCTCGTAGCACAAAGAAAAAGTACATTGAGTATTTTATTGACCCCAAAAAATACAGTTCCAGCTTTGATATATTGAAAATCGATGCAATATTTATTGTGACAGGCTTACTAATCTGACAGCAAAGCAGGCCTACTTGAGGAATAGTGTAGTATTACGAAAACATGACAAAACAGTGGCATACTGGAAGAAAAATGTGTTACAAGAATAGATGTAACAGACATAAGGAAGTAAAAGCACTGATTACTTTATTTTCTTAGATCTACACTGTAAAATTTTACTATGACTAATGCTTCCCCATTTTTAAAATTAAAGACGCCGATATTTGGAGCGTATTTGCTAAATCTTAAATCTCCATCACAGGCCGATAGTTTGTTCTGGTTAATCTGCAGTCTAAAAAAATATACACAAAGCTTAATTTTAGTACTTTAATAGAAACAGGAATAGAAAAAAAAACATACACAGTTCTCTTATTGGTTTGTGTAAAAGGGCTTTGGGTGAGTTTGTACTAAATTTAAATATCTTAATTTGGGGAAAATAATCAAAATCTGCCCAAAAAATATCGGCAGAGCTCATTGGTATCGGCATTGAACATGAAAAAAACCCATATCGATCCATTGCTATTTTAAATCATACACTTGCCCTTCTTACTGACAAAATACAGAATGCAAAACTTTTTTTTTTTCTAAATTATATGATTCTATTATATGAAGCTATGTATTTTATTGGCTCATTTCAAGTCATACAAGAAAGAAAGTACATCCCATAGTACGTAACACTTTGTAAAAGCCAGTTTCCTTGTGCTTTCATTCATCTTTATACATATCTACATTCTGCACATAACAGCACACACACAGACACACATACTCACACACATACACGCACACACACGCACACATGCACACACACATATACATACACACAATACTTTCAAATCAATCAAATCTTTCTATGGAAACTATTTAAAAAGATGACAGAGAGAATAGCTGAAAAATGCAAGAGGATCTTTTCTACGTTGCTATGTTCATTTCTATGTTGCTGTTGCCAAAAGTTGAATTTCCTTCAGGATCAATAAAGTATCTGTCTCTCTATCTCTCTGTCTATCTATCCATATCATATACATTTTCAAAACTTTCAGACAAAGGGTGATTTAGCCGTTTCAGTCCGGGCGCCTCGACTTTGGAACGACCTGCCTGAGGAGATAAGGCTCGCACCACCAGTATCATCTTTTAAATCACTTCTTAAAACTCATTTTTATCAGTAAGCCTTCCTTTAGCTTGTTTTAGCTTGATTTTATACCATATTTATTTAATTATATTTTATTTATTTATTTATTTCTTATAATCAACTGTTTATGTCATTGTCTGTTTTTGTATGCCTTCTGTCTGCTATTTTTATGCTTTTTGTATTGTTCTTTGTTGCTTGTACAGTATTTTTGTTTGTATTTATTTGTATTATCATATATTAAAAAAATACAGCAACACAGCAAATGGCTCTGCCTCTACAATCTCACCTCACTTTCTGTTCCATTTAACCAAACAGGTGCAATTTTCGTCTAGTCAATACAAATTCCACTTTAAAGCCATTGACCGCAGTTTATTTGAAAGTCTATAGCTGAATCAGCAACAACAATAGCTAATCAATGAGGCCGCTCACAATCTATGAAAGAGGCGCTGTAATTGATAAAGAAATGTTACCTGCTGTTCCGACTTTATCTCTCTTTGTCTTCAAGGTGAAAGTGAAATGATTACAGATATATAATTTAGGTCTATTCCAGGAATGAAGTGAAATATAAAATGAAATCAATGACACATACTCCCTTCAATCCGTACTAAACAGGAAGTACCAACGCTTCCCTATTTGACGTTTACATTTTATTTATTCCATATTAACAGGAACCATAATGGGAAGCTAAAAGTGTAAAACAAAAGTTCAAGGGATTTTTTTCTTTAGATAATTGGTCACAATACTAAAATTAGGGATGTTTTTAATCCTCAATATAGATTTTGTTACAGTAATAATAATATAAAAAACAGATAAAGATAGAATGTGATTTTCCACACAACAAATAAATGTTTTAATTATACCATGTAGTGTCATATTATTTTTTATTGAGATCATGTAATCAGTAAGAAAAGTAATATCCAATTATATCCAAGGTGATTTTTTCCCAGTATCAATATATTTTCCCATGGGTATTCGCTGATGTTTTCTTCGTTATTATTAAAGGGCTTATATTAGGCAACACTGACTCCTGTGAACTTTAAGCCATGGTCTAATGCTGTTAACTCCTCAAAAAACAGACCTGGAGTTTTATTATTAGCTGTATTATTAGTCTGTCAACATCTTCAAAGCTCAAAATGCTCTCTTCCTCCTTGTGATGTTATGTAGTGGTAGTTTCCAAGTTTACAGCTACCTTTTACGTTTAGTTCCATAGAGATTGGCAATTCCAGATCAGAAATTATACAAATGATTCTAGTGAAGGTTTAAAAACACAGTGGAGCACATGCTGCATTACAACATGGCATCACAAGGTGGAACAGGTGTTTTCCATTTGAAAGAAGAACTTGAATTTGTGTGTTAAACATGCATGAATGAAACAAAACAACTCCAGGCACATCTATAATGAGGAATCAACATTTTAAAATAGGTCAGAATGTAGTGTAATATGGGCCCTGTGTCTTATTAACTTATCCAGCATTCTGCAATCCAGATTCAAGGATACAAAAAAAATTCACACATATTTCTTTCTATGATTTCAGATTAAAAGACCTGCTCACCTGCCATCCTCGAACCGGCTGATGAGGTCTGACACTTTGGAGTTCTTATCTTTGAGGCGCTCCTTGGTCACGGCCCCCCTCCCGCCTCCTCTGTCCTCCATGTTGGATTTCTGTGTTTGGAAGGCCTTAGTCTTCTGGGTCTGGAGTGGACAGGACGGGCTGGTCACCGGGCTCTGCAGATGAGGAGGTTTGGGAGGCACTAAAGGAAACAAAAACAGAGTAATAAATAACTGTGTATTAAGAATAGTAACAAAGTAAATCTTTACCTGAGTTATAATTTTAGTTATCTGTACTTGCATTTTCACTTTTGAGACCTTTTAGTTTTACTTCACTACATTTGTATCTGTACTTTCCCTCCACTACATTTTTGAACAAGACATTCATAGTTTGAGTTAACAAAAATATACAAATAAAAACATACTTTTGAAGCTTTATTAAGATCTTTATTAAAATCTCTTTAAGTACATTTTTAAACAGGAACTTTAGAAGTAGATTTTTGATTTTGCTCCAGTATCTGTACTTTTACTTAAGTAACAAAATCGAGTACTTCACCCACCACTGTTCAGAAATAAGTCTGTGCCATTTTCTTCTCTTTTTTTGTCAAGTGTTGTTGTTTGTTGTTGCTGAAGGGGGCACTGTAGACCAGTGTAAACATCTAATGACGGGACCATAAAAGTACTATTTTGTATATACTGCACTATATTAAATTGCTTTATATTGTGATATGTGATGGATATTGTGATTTGATTGGGCAAACATATTCACTGAAAAGTGTTTCAGCTGCAAAAATGCAAATGTCACTGCAAAGTAAATGCAGCTATCAATATGATTTCACCATTGACTAAACCAAAAGGGCTTTTAGGGGTCAGGCAGGACAAAAGGAAAACTAACTACATTGGTTTTGCTTTCTCTACCATTCACCGTGACACACTGGTCCATTGTGCTTCGAGTGGTTAATAATTGCTATATAAAGAGAAGTACAAGGGTCACAGTCAGTACACTGCCTTTATGTAAGCAAATTCCTGTAAGTTTTGGAGAGCATTGCCAGATTACTATATCATGTTCAGAGGTGAACTGATCCTGACACAGAGTCATGCAGAGTCAATATTTTGTCCCTGAATCACAGTCTGCAGCAGTGACAGCTTTCACTCTTCATAATGAGACAAACTGTTTACTTAAAGCAGGCCTATTCTGCAAATTCAACTTTTCAGAGCTTTTAAGCATGTTATAGGCTAGTTGTTTGCCCTTCTCATTTACTGTTTCAAAGTTTGCACGTTTGCATCTTCAAACACCACATTGCTGATCAATCTCTATTCGACTGCCACCAGTACACACTCACTGCTCTGTACTTACTTAAGCCATTTTAGTACAAATGAAAAAAAAAAAAAAGCTTCTTGCTAGTGTGATGTGTGATGTGCAGCTATCGATAGAAGCGACCAACAACTTTTTAAAAATGACATATGTACTGTGACATCTGCTGCCATTGGACACCACAGTTTTCTAATCAGCAGACTTGCCTCTTTTAAGTCATTTTTAGATGGATATTGTGATTTAAAATTATAACTATATCTCAACCAGAAGCACAATATGTGTCTTAATGTTTGTACCACACACTCTCACAGCTGTATAATGCATTGTATACTGCACATATACACAATACTGTACCTTTGGGTTTGGAGTCGAGGCGAGACCTGCTCCCTGATCCTTTTCCATTGGGGCTGGTCCTGTTCTTTCTGTTGCCTCCACTGACTCGACTTAAACACTCCTGAACACTGGGGGAGCTGTTTGTCTCAGGGGACGGGCTGCTGCCTAAAGCTGGGAACACAAAAAGGATATCATTAACAGACTGTATAAAGAAGTGGATTAAGCGAGTGTGACGAATGAAGCTTGCGATGCTACTAGTTACAGGGGAGAATTTGCAGCCAGACTTTATATTATGATTAGCATTTTCTTGACGGACAAAATAGAAATTCCTTTTTTTTTTTTAAACAACCAGGATCACGTAGAGTGGGTTAATACGAACATTTTAAGACCAAAATGACGAGGCTCACAGCAGTAGTTACAGAGAGAGGATGACAATAATCCAATGTAAGTCAATTGGAGCCAGGGTCAGAAGGAGCCATAAGAGCCGCATGTGAACTTTCTATTTGGAACGCAGCCATCTATACAGTCTACTAGCATTAATCAATTTATTTATTTGCATCCTTAAATTGACAACTTCTCCTTCTGAGTTCCTACTAAGAAATAATAATACTATCAATGTGAAAAGCATTCTATTAGACTAAAAACAAACAATACAGGCAGGCTGGTAGCATTAAAAGAGGTGCTACTCACACCAGATTCACAAGTACGCTCAAGCTAAATTGTATACAGCACCAGAATGTCCGTGCTTCAACTACTTAATGACCAACGGAAGATGGAGCGTGACCACTTCGATCTTTTAATTTATCCCTACGTGTGAATTAAAACATTTACCCCTTTTCATACGGCTGCTGAACTAACTAGAAAACATTTAGATTAGATTATCTTTTGTTGCCTCCTTTATATAAAAATTCCAGTTGGACAAACAATGATCACAGAAGACAAAACAACACAGGACACCAGACAACACAGTCACTCCACATTCACAACACGAAAGAAACCATGAAAAAAGAACTGATAAGACTTGATACAATACAATAGGCCTGTCACCATATTTACTATTTTGACTTAATGTTCAATACATGTTAGCCAGAACAAGGTATTTTTGGGTTCAATATTTATCATGTGTACAATTTTTTTGTAAAGGTTTTTTGTTGTAATATGATAAGTTTAGAGTTGCAGAGGGTTGAATGTGTGACTCCTACAGCAAATTACTGGTTCATTCTGTTATTCATGCGTTGCAGCTCAGGCCTTTTAATGACACTGTCTATTCCAAAATGATGTACTGAGATTATCCTGCTTTATTGGTATTGTTTCAGTTGCATTAAATATTTTCAATATTGTTGTTTATTACAATATTTCTCTGTACCAATATATCATGCTTCAGAATTTGATATGATGACAGGTTTGGTTTTCCCCTTTCACATCAGAAACTAAACACCTTCAAAAAACATCTCAAAACTCACCTTCTCCTCATAGACTATAACCTAAACACATGACTGCTCCTCTTTACTTGTTTTGTGACGCGTATTTGTGTTACTGTGAAAAGTTCTATATAAAACCAATTATTATTATATTTATAGGTCTACAATAGAGATTGAACGATATGAGTTTTGTTCATGGCTGATGCTGATAATGATGTTTAGAATCCAGAGAAACCGACGGCCAACAATCTCTATACAGTCATCCCTCACTATAACGCAAAATGCGTTCAGCTTGCCAAATTTACATAAATGTTCGAGCAGCGTGCTAGCAGTGTGATTCTGAAGTGCAGTATGTTTGCATGTCTTCTCCCAGACAAAACCCACAATGTCGATGAAACGTTCTGCACCGACAAAGGCTCCTGCAGTCGCACCCAAAAGGCAGAGGAAGATGCAAACCATCGCACAAAAAGTTGGACTTCTGGACACGCTGAAAGAAGGTAGAAGTTACGCGGCTGTTGGGTGCCATTACGGAATAAGTTAATCTTTGGTAAGTTTTAAGATGGATGCAAAAAGGGTTATAAATGTCCTGTCTGATGAAAGTGTATAAAGTGTGTGGTGAGGAGTTTTACAGCCTTAAAACAGATATAATAATTGTAAAGAATAAAGCTACTTCAAGGATTTCACCTATTGCGGGTTAGAACATAATCCCCGCGATAAACAAGGGACCACTGTACGATATTTTTGGGATGATACATAGAGCTAATTTTGGGTATTTTCCCCCCAACTTTGTATTGTAAATTTACAGCAAACTCATCCACAGCCCTATTTTACCACAAACCTATAAGAGATCTTTCGCATAGAACATTATGTGTACCCTTTAGTCAGTAAGTTGGTCTATCTCTAGTCTACAATACAAATTCTTGCTACCTTTATCGATAGTATTTAACCACAGTGATTAACAAACAGTGCAGGCCTCAGCAGCTCTCTAGACAGTAGCTGGTGTCAGACAGTTCACTTGATTAAGAGACTAATGATCCAAGCCTTGAGCATATCCACACACTTTATATTCTAGTTGGACACAGATGGTACAGCACTGTGCAGGAGACCACAGCAGGCTAGATTAATGCTTCTACTCCAGTGGTAGTGTTTACAGTAGCCCACATACACCACTCTTTGACCCTACATACTAACAGCAGCAGCAGCCTATAAGGAAAATGCCCAAATAAGGATGTCTGGTGCAACCGAGAAACAGCTCCATTACTTTCAATGCTTTTAGGCCCTTGCTTTCCATGTATGGTGGTCACTTTAGTTGCAGTGGGTTTAAACAAGGGGAACTATGTATAAAATTGCTTTCTGCCCTCACTGATAACATGCACAGAGCTGGTACTGGTAATTGAGCGTAGCAGACAGGAACGGACTTGCCCCTACTCTATCTACAATAGGGCTGAAACAAATAATCAGAAAAATGTGACTGTGTGTAGCTGGCTGTTAAAGGGCAGCCATATTATGCTGTTTTCTGATCTATGTTATAATGTTTCCTCATTACAAACATTCCTGGAATTGTGTATTGTTTTAGTCACACTGGTTTAACACTTTAACACAGCTTGTGATATCATGCAGTAATACAGGAAGTGCTGCACTCATTTGCATAGCTTCAGCCATGGAACTGCCAATCTCTACTGAATTAAAGGTAAAAAGTTGTTAACTTGAAAACTACCACTACATGACATCACAAGGTGGAACAGCATTTTCAGCTTTGGAGATGTAGACTGAGTAATAATAAAGAGTTACTCAACCATGTATGAACGAAACAAAACACAACTCCAGACAACAACATTATGGCTTTAAGATGACAGGAGTAAATTTTGCGTAATATAGGACTTTTAAATAATCCTTGCTATATTTCGATAATACAGACTTTAAAACACATGCAAAAAATGTTATTATTAAATCAAAATAGCAAAAAGGGATAGAAAAAGAATTACTTCATCAGTGTTTCTCTTTATTTGTAAATATATTTCAGTCACTGTTTTTTCATCAAAAATAAATCTGCAATAGAAATAATCTTTTGACTACTCGACTAATGAAAAAAAAACAACAATAATTGCAAACCTAATTTACAAAGGAACAGAAAAATCTAGATCGGTGCATCTCTAATAGAGTTGAGTATCATTAAGAAATTGCTGATACGATACATCTCGATACACATACACAATATATACCTCGATACATTGTACTTTTGGTTCGATATATTTCAAATTGATTCGATACGGTTCAATGAAAAATAAAGGCTAAATCACGGATGTGATACTAAAAGTCTTTGTTAAACCACTTCTTGTGCAAAGTGAATATGAAACACAAACCTTTTAATCATCAAAACTGTGAAAATGGGGCTTTCCATGAATAAATTCAAATTTAAATTCAAATATGTTTCATAAACGAGCTTCCTTCCACTAAAAAAAACAACAAAACTGTAGTGCTGTAACAAAATAATTTTGTAAATACTCTTGTCGATATAGTGATACAGTAGCCCACGATATCAATACTGTATCATCACATTAAACAATATGATACAGTATATATCGCTATTTCAATATTTTTGCACACCCCTAATCCCTAACCTCAATCATTTTAAAATTTACCTCAACCACAATCTTTAAGTCAGGTAACATTAAAAATCATAGTCACTCAAACAGAGAAATCAAACTATTTTCAATCCATTCAGAAATAAAAACCACCAGGCCTGTCACAATTATTACTATTCACTTATCGTTCAATCTATGTGCTTCAAAATGTTATCATGACAGGCCTATATATACATACAGTAACTTCCCTATGTTTTGTTTGTTTCATTTTCTCTTTTTTCACACACTTACTACAGCATCGCCATAACAACACATAAGAATTATACACATCCTCCTGCTAAAGTTAAAGCATGTAGCGTGCCCTGTGCCCATCCATTATGTTTAAATCGGTTTCTGACTGGGTTCCAAATTGCTTGTTTGGGGTACAACTCTTTCCCCCCAAACTGATCTTTATCTTACCAAATGCTGGACGCGAAACAGAAAAATACCACAGAGCCATAAGATCACGGCTCTATTTTTACTGCAGTGGCTGTAATTAAAGACAACATTGTGTGACTGTCTGACTGGTAGGGCTCCCACGCTGCGTTTGGGTGCATATACTGGCTAAACATGGAATCCCAAATTACCAATCAATTAAATGTGCAGCCTCAGGAATTTTCCTAGATTATGTGCTTGGGTACGCTTTGGGCCACATTAAGAGACGGTGTGTAGTGTTATGTGTGCTATATGGTAAAGGCAGAGTATGGCCCACAGTGTAGCCTTAAGCACAACACTGTGTAAATACAGGGGGGTACTGGATACAGCCTGGATCTGCTCCTCCGCTGTAATACTGTCAGACTCGTATGTGTACTTACTTATTATGCAAAATTGAGCTTTAAACCATCCTATAATGCTGTTACCTCATCAAAAACATACCTGGAGTTGTGTTTTGCTTCATTCACACATGTTTGAGTAACCTTTATTATTAGTCTGTCGTCATCTCCAAAGCTCAAAATGTTCTGTTCCACCTTAGGACGATCATCTAATGGTAGTTTTCCTTTTATCTTTTGTTTTGTAGAGATTGTGAATTCCAGGGCCATTCAATCATCCAAATGATTCTATAGAAAAGGTGTATGAAGTGTAATAACACAGTGGAGTACTTTCTGTAATACCGCATGACATCATA